ATGTTGCTTAGGGAGATGGTCGGATAATCAGGGACTGTGAGTCTATGACCCTTTTTTCAGATTGTTGAAGATAGGATTGGATTAGAAATCAAATTATAGTGAAGAAAAAATACGAAGTTTAATTCAATTGATTTATATAATTATTTAAAAAAATGATATTTATATATTTTAAAATTTAAATATTAGTGTTTGTAATTTTTTTTCTTATCTTTGGGTTAGGGCCTAATATGTATCATAAAAAAATTTTATAGAGAAGTGTTGATTGATGTTGAGTTTTGATGTGAGGATATTCTTAAAATGATAAAAAGGGAAAGAGAGCAATTAAGTGTAAATGCTAGAAGTGTTTTTTATGTTTATACTTTGATACGCAAATCAAAGATCAAAATGAAAGAAGTTGAAAGAAAAGAAGAATAAAAGATTGAAGCTAAATAAAACTTGAGATGATAAAATATAGATTTCTATATTTATAAATGAAAAATAGGAGATTAACGAGGGACAATAATGACATGTTCGAACTAATATGATACTGAATATATCAAGTCGATTTGACATATCAAATCTACTTAAATGTTCAAAATACCTCTGATTGTCTATCAAAAATCTGTAACGAAGAAAAAAATTATTATATCTTTTGGATCACTAAATACCCCAAACAAGAAGAAATGTACCCGATTATTTGGTTTTAATAGTAAGTGCATGTATCTTTAGTGCTCTCGTTAGCAAAACCCTCTATATATTAAAAGAATGAAAACGCGTGATCCATGATGACTCAATCATTTCGATTAGCATGAGCAGTATTATACTTGAAATAACTCATTTTCTTAATCAATTCTTGCAGATTTTCTTTTCCAGTCTTGAGTTACAAGGAATTTCCAGGTTTCCATTTTTACTATCAAGTTAACTGCATTTTACTCTGAACATAAACTAATGGTTATGTCTAATGTATGTGAAGCTACATACATATTTCTACTAGAAAAACCAGTGGCCAAAATTTTGGCAGCTCCCTGAGCTAGACTCGATAATAACCATTTCATATTATATTTCTCAATTCTCATCCCTGGAACTCTGAAATATGAACAATCTTTTGTCCTGCGGGCTGAAGTAATTATCTGCAGCATGCTTTCTGTTGATCTTTGGAATTGACAAGGATGATTTTGATTTTTGAAACAATCTTGGAGAAAGAAGCCAATGTTTCCTGCAGTTCCCGTGGCTTTTTATCTTACTATTGATTTTCGATTATAGACTTGTTCGAATGCTATATGTCAAAGAGGACAGACTGACCTGAGTAAATTATGCATCTGTTGTAAATTCTCAGGGTTGGCATGTAAACATCTGCTGAGGTCTAGATTTAGTAGCAACAATGGAAGCATTTCCATGTTTTGCTCAACTTATTTTGTATTTGCTATCTGATTTTAAAATGAACCTACAGTTAAATGAGGCCAGAGAACAACTAGACCTGAATTTCTTTGTCATTCAAAGTTTATAACTACTATGAAATATTAATAGTTTGAGAAACATGTACATTGGTTGAAACTAAATTGATACAGATAGGAATAGAAACATCAAACATGTGATCCATGATGATTTGATCACAGTGATTAGTATCGACGTCAATGTCATACACGAGACATGAGCATTTTACTGTCTAACATGTGGGAGTTAGTTTGTTTTCTGATGTGAACCAAGTGACTGATCAACAACTTTATCAGGTCATCAATTGGTTTTCAAAAGTATTTATTAGACTTTCAGTTGCTTTCAACATTCAAACCATTTGAATCATAATGTTATGTCAATGTCAAAAAGTTGGAAGAAGATTGAAAGGTGCCATTATGTGATAAACTAAAGCTCGGTTCCAAGAAAATTTTGTAATTGTTTCCATCTGAATGTCATGCTTCAGTCAATTTCTGGTTTAGAAAAATAGGAGAATTACAGTAAAAAATACATAGAAGGGTAGGAATAGGCTTACCCAATTTTCAATATTCTAACACATACTTCGAGTTAGGTCTGTCTCTTGTAAAGTTAGGCATGGCTGGAAGTCAAATTTGGCCAACAAAATAAAAACATAATGTCAGCATATATTTTTCAATGAGATTAATAATAACCTCGGTAGGAATCAATACTGTAATAAAAGGGGCATTCCGAGAATCGAACTCGGGACCTCTCGCACCCAAAGCGAGAATCATACCACTAGACCAAATGCCCATTACAAGCTATCACGAGCTTTGTTGCATTATCTGTACTTAGCATGAGTTAATAAAAAGTGGTTATCCCTAATCACTTTAATAGCTAGAGAATAGAGATATGCTGCCTTGGATCTTGAAAACATTTAACATCACAAGATAGAGAAATGGAATCAAACCTGTAATTTGGTCTTTCAGCTGTTATGCAGCCTGATCTTTGTTAGTCCTTATATTTGACATGGAACAATCTTTCATAAACTAACTCTATTCCAGCAAGGGCCTTTTTCTTCAAAATTTCAAAATTTTATGTGAATGTCCCTCAACCTTGGCACTTAATCTGGTTCACTTTTCAGTGATATGGTATACCAAAGAGGTTACTGATGGAAAAAGAAGTAGGGGCATGTCTTGAATGCAAAGTTGGCAAGAATAAGATGCAGTTAGATAGTCGTCTCGGGCCTCATTTAGCAGGCACCAAGCATCACTAATGATCTTGCAATCGTAGCTCAAAAATCTTGTTGGTCAATAAGCAAGTTTTAGGTAATATGTTGTGTTTTGGACATTTTTCCTAATTTTTCTCCCTGGAAATTTTTTTCAGCTGAACTACCAGCTTTCCCGGCTTAGGACCAGACTAGGAAACATAACACTGACACCAGAAAAAGAAAGCCTGGAAATATAGTAGGTATCTGCATAAGAGTCCGAATAGGTAGCTTTTCCTACAATTCATGGTCACATGAAACCAAATAAACTTTTCTATTTCTTGGTAGATACTGCAACTTACTATCATATGTATATCACCTTCCAGATATCCCCTTAAACTTTGTATCTAGCTGAACTTCTATTTCTTACTGCTGCTTTTCTCCGATGGACTTGTTCCAGTGCTGCAATATATCGAAAAGGACACTGACCTAATCTGTTGTGAATTCAGAGCTGGCAGGTATGAAATGCGGTAAGACATCTGTTTGAGGCCTAGTTTAGTTGGAAATAATGGCAGCATGTTCTTGGCTGTATGTTTCTTTCCTTATTTTGTATTTAATTACCAGATTTGAAAGATGAACCTAGAGTTAAATCAGAACAATTATGCTTAAAGGAACCGTTCACTGTATCTTTAGAATCCATCGACTGATTTTGGATATTGAAGATGATTATGTCCTATTGTTAGATCACAGTTAAAAAGGTTACCGACAACTACAGAGACCAATGAAGCCATCTGTTCCCATAGATGAAACTGACATCCAACTATAAACTGCCAATAAAGAATATAACAAGTTCTGCAGCTACACATTATAGCCAGGACCAAGTAGGAAATCTCCCAGCACAGGCTAACTACATCTGAATCCTTTTGTTATAACTTCATAAATATTGAATATTGAAAGTCAGAGAAAGCATGTGAACGATTAATTTTAAATTGACATTGATAGGAATGAAAACACAAAAAATATGATACATGATGATTTGATCATGGTGATTAGTACTGAATAATGTCATACATGATCAAAACTAACATGTGATTTGAGATTGTGTGTTGGCTGTTGTGAACCAGAAATGCCCAATTAACAACTTTGGTCATAAAATTGGTTTTGAAATAGCGTCCAATGCTCCATATTCATTCTGTGTCTTTTGAGATAAAATCAAGTTTAGAGTTGCTGGAAGTCAAATTTGATTAGTAAAATATAGCTCCACTGTTATCATATCTTTTCAATGGGATAATCAATAACTTCATGAGGAATCAAAACAATAAGGGGGGCATTCCGAGAATTGAACTCGGGACCTCTTGCACCCAAAGCGAGAATCATACAACAATGCCCATTACATTACTCTAACACTAACTTCCTTTAATCCTTTCATTATCTCTATTTGGCATGACTTGATAAAAATGGCTACCACTTGATTAGTTAGAGAACCTTTCCTTGCTCTTGAACTAAACCTTTAACATTACAAGGTAAGGCATGAAAAACTATTCAGCATTTCAGCCATTTGACTTACTCGAATCAAATAAACTGGTACTGTGAAGTTGCCAATTTTTTCCTATATATGAAAATTTGAAGCCACAATCCTCAACAATAACTATTTCTTATCCCTGGATTTGAAGTGAATATTTATTTATCATGCAGTAAACATCTGCATCCTGCTCTCTTTTAGTTTTTAGATCTGATATTGATGGTTAGGATACAATCTTGGAGGAAAGCAAGTAACTCAGTTCCGGCAAGGTCCTTTTTGTTTAAAATTTCATGTGAATCACCTAAATCTTGGTATCTAGCTGAAGTTCTATGTCTTACAGCTGATCTCATGCACTTGTTCCACTACTAAGGAAGAAAACTCTGGACGTGTAATTGTACAAGGCTGGCTAGACTGAGGAAATGCAGTAAGATAACCATGTCAGACCACATTTAGCAGACAATGATTGCTATTCACCATAAAAGCCTAGCTCAAATTTTGTTGGACTTGGACAACATATAGGTCATTTGTCCAGTCAGCCGAGTTGCTCTCATGACATGCATGCACTGTGAGCTTTCCTTAGGTTTGCGTAAAGAACATTTTGTCCATATACAGTGGCCTTAGTTGACAGTCATATGAAATCGAAATTGTCTATTCTTGGTTACATATCGAATGACTATCCTACATCTTATAATTACTGAACTGATAACAAGTAATTCTCCACACAGATAAGCAAATGTCTGTCTCTTTTAATTTTGTTTTTACCATCCGATTTTATATGCCCAAGCTGCGATGTATGACATGTTTAATGTGTTTAAATTCACGCATATGAGCTCCGTAATAAAATTTTGATATGCAAATGTCACCAGGAAGTATCCATTTGTAAATTGAACATAATATAAGTTGAGGAAATAGAATATGTCTGATTAAACACAGAAACCACAAGTAAACATTGACCCTGAAGATAGATGCAAAAGCGGAAGTCAGGAAATTTACTGGCTAAAGAGCTGCACCTAATGATTCATTCTCATATCATGCTATCTGTTCTCGCAGGCAGCCTCCTGAAGATGTTTTGGGGCAGTGAAGGAATGTTGACTCGAAATTTCGGATGTCTCATGGCGAAAAAGCCCACACCAAGTGCAAATAAGCGAAAAGGAATGAAATAGAAAGCTGTACTAGCGAATAGACAAAAAGCTAGAAACATAGGCGTAGCTCTGGGATCTCGCCAACTTAGCATAGAATTAAACCTCTCTGCTTGAGTTGCCAGGTCGCCGATTATTGTCATCATCCTCCCTGCAATGCTTCTCAAGCGATCATATCTCTTTTTAAGAACATCACCATTTTTAGATGATGGAAATGTATCAAACTCTTCATCTAGTTCATCAGAGTGCACTGAATCAAGGAGTGACAATTTAGTATCCATGTGAGCAGGATGTCTTGGCCTTTTCCTGTACTGTGAAGCTCCATAGACGATACATATGAGAAAGCCTAGGGGTAAAAGCAGATGAGGGCAAAGAGCCAAGATCAAAAACATAAAGTGAACCATTATTGTAGAAATGGGATTCTTCCATTTGCATGTCTGATCAAACCATTTCCAAGCCTCAACAAGCAGATTAAAAGTAGCCAGGAGTCTTTCAAGATTAGCTCTACCTTTTCTTAAGCTCCATACGTTAGAGCCCACATCCAGCATATACTCCACAACTTCTTTCCTTAATGGTGGCTCAGCGCGGCCCAACCTCAATGACAGTGTATGAGTAGCTTGATGCCTTAAACTCTCAACTTGATATACTGATAGTGGGAGAAGATAATGCATTTGGGGGAACAAAGGTTGTGTATAAGACTGAAATAAATTCCATGTAGAGGAGCAAGTAAATCTCACTGCCATTTGAATTTCACCCATTTTCTTCACTCCATTAGGTTGTAAGACTATAAGTGGATAAGAATGTGTGTAGATCCTATCAGCATTAAGGGTAGACAGTCGAATCCTTACCTTCCCAATTCTCGGATCCTTTGAACCTCCAGTGTTACTTCCTTCTTGCAAGTGACAGTTATCAAAAACTCCAATTGTGATAACCGTATATGGATCATAAACTTCCCAAGTATATTGTTCATTCCACTTTGGTGCAAAACTGTCAACAATTGTCCTTGTCCTTACCCACTTAGGTCCATATTTGGCTACACAATAAGCATCAGTAGTTCCTCGTCCATCTTTTGACTTCATTGGCAGCAAACCAGTTGCATTCAAGATTCCTAACTCCAAGACACCAATCGTAGGAGGCCACAACAATTTGGACGTCGCCCTGAAATCACTGCTGTAGTAAATGGACTCATCAAGAACATGATATCCCCCATCCAAAGAGACCCTTAGGTGGAGTCTACTTGCAAATCTTACCTCCCTATTCTTTTGATTATCCTGCACAACTTTTTCAAGATTATACCAGCTAGCCTCTTGAGGTATAGGCAGTAACCTCTTCTCCACTTTTGATAAATGAATCATGCACCTTCCAAGAATATCCTCCTTATTATTACCCAACTTATCCACCACAGTCAAGATCAAAGGATCGTCAAAAGGTTCTGCTACAACAAACATCAAATCCTCATTCCAGGTAGGGTTGATGTTCTTATCAGGCGAAAATCGACTTCTGAGAACCATATTCCCCAGCATAGCCTTGACATAAACTTCCGGGTTCCTATTCATATTTATAGGCACCAAGTCCTGAGCTTGAATTACATTGACTCTAAGATACCAAAGCCTTGGTGAAATATACACCTTCGAACGAGTGTTAGAGATGCTTTCACCACTAACAGTTGCTGCATCCGAGTGCCAAGCATCGGGAAAAACTTCATCAGCTTGAGTCCCCATCCACATAGCTAACATCAATTCTCCTGTTTCACCTTTCTTTCCATCTTTATCCTCTAAACTATACCACTGCGGTGCAAGGGGACTATCAGGGGGAACACGGCTAGGAATGTCTGGTATATCAAAAGCAAGTTTCCCAATAACATCACCATTGACAGTAGTGTCCTTGTTCTTCACAGTTACCTCCACAGTTACAGCCTGAATTCGATCTTTTTCGAATGCAAAAACTTGGTTCCATTCAGGGTCAAGTTTCTTCTCGAAGTACTTTGTTGTGCCTTTATAATTACCAATCTTTACTTCAACATAAGGATCACGCGATGTCCCTGGCAAATCTCTAGCCCTTACCATTCTTACATACAAAAAATGCTGTTGTTCAACAAGGTCGAACGATGATGTAAGCTTTTCACTACCAGAGACTCTTCCTCCACCAATATTTGGTGAAGTCTCCTTCAATGAAAAATCTACATTTGCTTGTGACATTGTGCAAACTATCTGCAAGAAAATGTCAGATACAAAAACTGCATGAAAAATCAAATTACAAAACTTTATTTTCCAAACATGTTTAAAAAACTGATGATCATAAAATATAAATGTTGCTTGCCTGATTGAGACTTGAAGAATGAGACCAAAACTGAAGATGGATATGAACAGAGTTTCCTATGTTCTGATTTAGAATGAAGAGTTTAGTAGGTAAAAACTTTCAAGGAAAAACATAGGGAAATTAAGAGATTATAAGAAAGAAAATTTCCTTAATTACCCTGTTTAATGCTAAAATTTGGTAAATAATCTTGATTGATTTTAATGCTCTATTTTGAATTTGAATGATTATAACGTAATATAAGTTATTACCATTTATGTTACATTTTCTTTGATACGCATTATTAGGTCAAAAATGAAAATTTTTTATGAAAATAATATAAAAATACTATTCATCCCTTCACTTTTGTCCTAAATTTTGTACTAATTTGATTGCAATATCTCATTTATGAATTGATAAACCTCACATTTAAATTTATCCAATAATTTTTCTCTTCTGCTTTGTTATCTTATTTGGTTGATTTTTATTTTCATGGCTAAAAAAAAAAAAAAAATTTAAAACTTTATCATTTTACATAAACAAGTCTCTATATTTTTTTATTTCACCCAAATAAATTTTTAAAATTTATTTTGCATTCAAATAACCTTTAAATTTTTAATTTATATCTAAATAAACCGTTAACATTTAATTTATATCTAAATAAACTCTTAATATAAATTAATTTTTATTTAAATTAAAAAATTATTTAAATATAAATAAAAATATTATAATTTCTTTAAGAGCCAAAAGTAAAATATCATGATTCATTTAATCGGAAAGTAAAAGAAAATAATCTTATATTAACGATGCTCTTCAATTCAAGAAACTTTCATTGAATTTTTAATTATATTTTTATGATAAGATTTTTAAATTTTCAATTACTCCTTCTTAAGTTTTTCAATTTGAATTTTAAGAAATTAATTTAAAATTTATTGTAAATTTTATATAAATATTGAGTTTAAATTGATTTGAATTTTTAAATCACAAAAAAGACAAATTTTTTGCAAAAAAATAAAAAATAAAAAATAAACCAAATCATAAGGGTTTTCAACATTATCACATTGACTTAGAAAGGGAAAATTGAATTAAAATCAAATAGAAAGGAAATATAATTATATAAGTGTTTTTTTTATTTGATGAAGCTTTGAATTTTTCTGCATAAAAAAACAAAAAGTAGAAAAAAGTCCAAATAGAACAGGTTCAAACCCAAATAATCGGTTATTTACTGGAATGCCATTTTCATTTTGAACTGTGACTGAATGTACTGCAAATAGAGAAACGAAAGTCCGATTTTCAAACCCCGTTGGTTACTCTAGCCGTCTCTCTCTGACTCTGTCTTTCTTTTTCCTTAGCTCCAAAGAAAATAATTTTTTTTTCATTCATTTTCTACCACTTTCTAGGCCACTTTCCGGGAAAAAAAATCGGGAGCAGGTAAAATATTCGGCTTCCGCTTCCACCTTATCCTCTCGTAGAAAACAAAAATTAAAAAAAAAAAAAGAAAATGAATATTTCCCTTTTTTTCCATTAGTTTTCTTACTCCGAAAATGTAGTAAACGTCTTGTCTTTTGAACTATTTTATTTTATTTTTTTTATTTTGAGATTTTAACTTCGTTAGATGAATCTCTCCGCTTCAGCTGATTTGTTTTTTATTTTTTGAATTTGGCGGTTTTACTTTCTTTTGTTTTCCAACGGTTTGTGAGCAACCAAATAGGGTTTGTGAGAAAACGTAATTCCCTTTTTTTTTTGTTTTTAATTTTTTTTCTTTGATGTGTGTGGTTCTTAAGGTGAAGTAGTTTTAAGGTAAGAAGGTATTGAATTTGATATTTCAAAAATTTTATCATTATTTGTCTTATATTCTTACTCTGTATATACTTTTTATTTGCTATTATCGATGTTTGAAACTTAAATTTATGTACCTAGTTGGAGCAAGAACTTTCTTTTGTTAAGTTTATTGAATGATGCGAATTAATTTATAGGCTGTTGTTCTTTATAGATTTAATTGGTCAAAAAAGGGATGGCAGATAAAGAATATCAGGGTTTCAATCATAGCCTTTCAAGGAAAGAGCTTCAAAGTGTGTGTAAGAAATATGGTTTACCTGCTAATAGGTCGAGTTCCGATATGGCTAAATCACTGGCCTCTTATCTAGAGGTAATTTATTGAGCTATAGTTTTTTATGGTAACTAAGAGTTAAGAATTTGAAGCATGTCATACTATTTTTCACTGTTATGCAGGTGTTAGATATGTGAACTTACTTTAGTTTGTAGTTTCATTCTGATATATTTGTGTACCTTGGTATGTTGTATTTGAGCTGATAATATATTATTCTATAGGAGTATTGATTGGATATGGTTTCTTTCTTAATATGACAGTAGGAGTAAAAAGAATAATTGAGTTTGAGAGTAGAAAGAAAGTAATGGATAAAAAAGGATTGCAATGTCTGATATCAAAGGGTATCTTTGCAACATAAGTTGGCATCATCATTGATTGAGAAAGTAGTTTATGAAAGCAATTGCTCCATCTGATGTGGTGTGGCATCCATTTATAAATTGACAGATCATTCATGATAAGTGATGTTTCTTGAAATATGTGAAGTAGAAATATGATCGGAAAAAAGGAAATTACAATGACAAAATAACATGTCAATGTTTTAATGGAAGAATTTGCTTATCTTTGAGAATTGATGAAATTTTGTCTGTGCACCAAGACGAAAATTTTACAACGAGACTTTGTTGAAATTGGCATCTCTGTTAGTATTTTCTTGTTATGTCTACCAAATAAAAGCCTTGATGAGTATCATAGGGTCTATTTTGGGGGGATTTAATTGATTTCAAAATGAAGTTTTAGGAAAGTGGCCCCTACCATATTACTATATCTTGTGGTCCCTATCAAATTACCATATATTGTCAGAGTCGGAGTGCCGTCATGTTCTGATGGTTGTGGTCTTCATATAAGACTCTATTTGTCTTTAATTCCTGGCCATATGTTTTCTAATTATTGTTTCTTAAAGAAGTATTTGGCTTGTGCTGCAACTATTCGTCTTAATAGATGTCTCTCTTAGCATCTCTTATCTCAATCATGGTTCTCATACTTTTTGTTTTCATGCTGAGGTAAGCTGCTTCATTTATCATAGTGAATTTCATGGAGTTCAGCTGATTCCGTTGGAGATGGCCTAATTTGATTTGCCTTTTATGCCAAATGAAACTTAAAATTCCAAGGGTGCCAGTCTAGGAAAATATGTGCACTAAAAGACACGATGTCTTACTATATGCCAATTTAACGTGTATTAGAGATTTTAGTAGTGTTCTAGCATCATTGTTCCATATCTTTCTCTTGTTTAAAAAGTTTCCAAGTCTAGTCTCTTGGTTCTATTTTTATTTAATTACCATCTCTCTTTCTTAATTTTACTGGTTCTTGCCAGGTAACACATTTGTGTATACCATTTATTATTTGGTCTTTCATTTAACAATTGTAGGTTGGTCTTAATTTTTTTTTCTTGCATATGTATATGTTTATATATGTACATAAAACATACATACATACATATGTACATGCATACATACATATATAAATATTTACACATATATGTATCCATGCACACACACACACACACACACACACACACATGTGCACGCACATCGATCATTTTGTCACTATGCTTATTCAATGCATGTTAAAGGCATGTGTTCCCAGAGTTGATATTTCTATGCAGTATCACTTGTACAAGGTTTCCTTGTATTGGCTTCCCCTACCTATACATTTTTCGAATTACCCTATTTACTAATCTGCATATGGAGTTTACAAGATTTTCTTGCAATTGCAAACTTGGATGTAAATTATGCTGGCCTACCACATACTGAACAAGCTCTGATATTTCTTTATTTTTCACATGGGCCTTTCATTTGTTAAAAACAAGTTCCTAAGTTTACATAAATTTGAAGATCTTTTATATCCAATCATAAAATATCTTGCAAAAAAATATACAGAACCAGAGATTGGGTTCAATGACCGCAGAGGAAAGATTATATGGAACTCAAGAGGATGGACTTCCTTTGTCCCTGAAACTACAACTGCAGCCTGAAGCGTCATTAAACTCTTTCAGGGATGCTGGAAAAGGTGTACACTGCTTGCTATAAGTTTGTGCTTAGTTTTCATAAATTAACTTTAGTACTATTGACTTCCTTACTATAATTGCCTCATCATTGTATGAATAACGTTTGGCTGCTTCTGCAGATTGCTATGGACTCATCTCTTGTCCCATAGACAGGTGTAATGAAGGGAATTATTCTCAAGCTGTTGAATGTAATGCATTGGGTTGTTGCACAGTGGATAAATTTTATCATAAGGTTTGCTTCTATTCATGGATGTTTATGTTTTCAACATGGATATTTTGACTTCTGATGCACCCGGATAAATCACATATGATTCCTCTCTTCGTCTTCTTCTTCTCCATCTCTTTCTCTCATCTGGCTTGTGTTAGGTTACAGAGTTGTTCTGATGAAAGATATAGACCTTTTTTATCTATTCAGAGGCTAGAGGATTTCTTATTGCACCCAACACCCCCCCGGCCCCCACACTATAAAAAAAGAACAAGAAACTACAATGGTGTACTATGAACTTTACCGGATGGCACTTTTGTCTTTTAGTGTATGGAAGATGAAAAATTAACCTGAGGGCAGCATTTAAGTAAAATGTGTGCTGGCAGAAAGATGTGGATGCTTGAACCTTCAATGCTGAATTGTTTGCTTTCAAGAACTAAAAACTTGTATCTAACAATCTGTCAATGCAGGATGGCTATGGTGGTGGCTCTATTTTTTCCCAGCAAAGACCACAATCTCTGTTTGTTTCTCAGTATAATGACAATGATTTTAAGAATAAAGAGTTCCCAACACTGTGCGTCAATAGAAATTGTTTGAGTCTCACAAGAGACAGAAGGATGAATGATATGCCTCAAGCTGAACATAAAGACATGAATGTTGCTGCATGTTTTAATGAGACCACCTTTCCTTCCTCCATAAATGCCCCATCTGTTTCTCCTTCGTCTTTTCAGTTTCATGTCAGTTCAGAAGAGGGGATTAACCTTTATGTTGATTTAAATTCAAACCCATCAGAGTGGGTTGAGAAATTGAAAAGTGAGGTTTCTATATGCCAGAATATGTCCCATAGCAAGTTTCAGACTTTTCATAAGGAGCTTGGGCGCTTTGAGGAGAGTAGTAAACAGATGAAAAGTTGTTTTCAGCTGAATATAGATGCTGAGAAAATAAAGGATGGCCATATGCACTCTGGATTACCCCCAAGTTTGATCATAAAAGAAAATAATTCATTGCATCTTGATCATCCAGGTGGAAATGATGGATCCTTGGGTTCAACGGTAATGACAAAATGTGCCAGAGCTGTAGATGGGTCAGAGCATTTAGAAGGAGATCAAGTTTTGGCCTTATTTAAATCTAATTCTGATTCTCAGGAGCAAATAATCTCTGCTGGCACATCCTGTGCCAAAGATGGGTGTTTGATAACTCTTGATTCAAATATTAATTCTCCTAGGGAGAAGTTAGCTGGTTATGCTGTATTAAATATATCAGATGGTCCACTAAATCTTCTCTCGATGAAGCAACAGAATTCTAAGTTTGAAAATGAAATATATGAGAATTCTACCCTGCAAAATGGTTGTCATCTTGTGAGTCCTGGTGGAATAATTCCTGGATGCGTGCCTGATGGTTCATTGCAGATACCAATGCCCGAAGATGTGGTTCTCCAGAAAAATGCATTACATTCACCTCGTGAAAATGGTGGATTTGTGGATTTGGTTGATCCAAAGCACAATACTTATGCAGAACAAGGCGGAATAGTAGGTTCAACTGAGCTTGATCAAGAGACATTTAGGACCCGGCTGCCTACATTAGTTGAAGAACAGGTAATAGTTCACCTCCTCTTGCTTCCAACTTTGTTAATACCATATGCAAACTATTATTACTATATTGCCATATTTAGTTGATGTTTTACATATTTTCAATTGTTCTTGGTGATTGGCTAAATTTTGCATTCTTTGTTGCTATATAGGTGAATGTTTGTATACCAGTCTAGGAATTTGCTTGATATGTGTCTGCTTGCATGTGTGTGCCTTTGGGTCATTGTGAATCATTTATGGACAATTGAATAGGTTGCATTTTAAATAGTTTCATCATATTGTTTAAATGCAATGTTAGGTTAGTACCAATCAACAATGGTAGAAATGGAAAAGAAACAGATAACCATAGATTACAAGAGAACTAAGTGCTGAAATTGTTCTCCCCATTCCTTGTTCTCTCTATGTCTTTCCTTCTCCCTATGGTCTCATTCCTTATGAACTTTTATTTCTAGACAGAAAGCTGTGGATGGCTTTTGATCAGTTTGTGCGTGCTGCAGGCTTTGTGTAATAAGAAATTGGATTTTCAGTTTGGCTTTTTTGAGATTGATTGATAGTGGATATGGGGATCACTCTAGGAGCATTTCTTTTTCTCCTTTTCTCTAAATAGAACTATCTGAGAGAAAATAAAAATAGATATTTTAGTGAGTACTATAAATGCATATTAGTTTCAAAATCTAATATCTTGTTGTCAGTTTTAAATTTTATAGGTAATTGATCAATTTTGATTTGGTGAACCCATACTTTAGTTTATCATATATCTTCTTTGTGGATCTCTTCCTAGTTTAACTTTTAGCATATTAATGGCATGGTGATATTTTTCCATAAATCCATGGTTGACATGATGTTTCTATTCCTTCCCCTCCTAATTTTGTTCACTATTCTCATTCTGTTTTGTGTTGTGTTACACTTCTATTAATATCCGTGGCAAAATGTACGAGTTAGCTATTATTTTGAAAAATATTGTTTAAGGTATTGTTTTTGACATTTAAACTTGTATATTGCTAAGTCATTTGACCATTCTTTTATGATTATTGTATCCTAAGTGGGTTCATCTTATGGGTAGAAAAATTATTTTTTTTTCTTATCTGTTTGTTTTAGATTTTTTTTCTTTCTTTTCCACTCCTTGCACTGCCGCAGCATGAACGAAATAATTCTCTGACAAAAAGAGAATTATCAAGTTTGCCAGGTTTTCTAGATGATAATCTGAACCATTGAGTTTAGTAAAATCAATTTATTTATTATTTTCTTTTCCTTTTTTGGGGTTGGGAAGGGAGGTGGGCTTAGAAATCTAAATAGATATCTGTTTTCTGTCAGTATACTCAATGAAACAACTAAAAATTTATTGTATGAAACTGCTTGCAGGGTAGGAGCAAAATTATTAATTGGGGAAAGAGTTCGGAGTAATTATCCTTCTTAATTTAATTATATGCTTTAGAATATTTATTTTATGTGTTGATTTGAGTGCATAATTGCCCTTTTCAGATGCTCACAAGATGAGTTATTTGAAAATTGTGGAGAGCGTGATAATGTTGGATCTAATGGACTTGGCAAAAAGAGGGCTTATATAGATGGAGATCAAAATGATTGTAGCGTGCTTGACGCCAAGATTTTAAGAAGCACAAAGCATCTGATTATGAAGGTCCTTCCCAGAAGATCCATGCGGCTGGTTTCCAAGGTTCTTTTTTATGCTTTCCTTTGTCTGTGCCATTAATTGTGTTATTTGCCACCCCAGTGTATTAGAATCACACATTGATTTAGAACCCCCCTACACCATATGGAACAAGAAACCGTTCATTTGTTAATATAAGAAAAGTTTTGTTCTCTCTGTTCTCTTGATTTATGTTTAACATACAAGGAAATCAAAAGTTAGTCTGAAGGTGACAAAAAGTTTATGCAATTAGTTTTTCAGTATACGAGGTTGTGTTTATGCAACTAGTTTGCTGTTCATTTTATCATGTTTGTGGGAGAGATATGGAGAGTGGTTTTAGCACCTAATTAGAAAACCTAATATCACCTATAAGAACAGGTCCTTTTCCCTTTCAAGGTCTTCAACCTCCACCAACTTTGTTCTCCTATTGGGGTTTGACAACATTTTTCTATTACCTGGGCACAAGTATGAGATTCCAGATGCACTGTTTTTGATGCAGAGCATGAGTTATATGTTTGTCATTAGTTAGCGCATATATATATTTGTATATCTGGTGAATTTATTGTGATAATTATTTGATTGCATCTTTTTCAAGATAATACTGAATTTGAAATGTAGGAATTGCATATAAAACTGATTGTGGAAAAACATTCTATTTGCTGGGTTGTATCTTTTCTATTGTGCCCTCATAATTGTAAACAAACTCTTTTATCCTGGGCTTTCCTTAGGTGAAGGTGCTTATACTTATCAGGAAAGAGAAAGCAAATAGTTGATTTCCTGGCTTTTGACTAAAACTGTTGATTAGCCGATTTCCCAATATGGACCAGTTAAGTAGGTTTAAAGCTACTCTTGAGAACTTGGACTTTAAAACAAATAAATGAGACTACGATAACCAGTTAGCTTTTGAATGAGCTCTTTTAGAAATTTTTTTTTTTCTATTCTTTTGTGGGAACTGGGATAGTTTCTTATTAAAATCTAGTTCTTTTAGTTGCAGAACCTGTGATACGTTTGTTACTATGCACAAATCAAATAAAATATTCCCTGAGGTAATTGAAAAGTATTGAGTACTTTATGTGGCAGCTATCATAGACTATGCTGTGTTAAACATGGAAGTTGCCAGATTTGGATATGGTGTGTGTTTTAGCTTTTCTTCCCTGTTTGTCTAAATATATTCAATTTTTTTCCTCAGTGAGTCTATGAAGTCTTTGCAGGCCAAATTCAAAGTATTGGTTTAGCTCACATTAGATTCGTTATTGCAAAGCCAAGAATTGTCTATTGTAAGTGTCAAGTGCTTTCTCCTTCTCTCTTCTAAACAATGATGGAAACAAATTTAAAAATTTCGGATAATTATCTGTGTAATGCTTCTATTTGAGCCTATACTTAGGTTGGTTGAGTTTATCTAGAAGTGAATAAGAAAAAGTTGGTTTAACTTAAATAATTTATGCAATAGGTTCATATTTCTTCCCTCACATTCCTCTATAGAGGGAAGGAAAGCATGCATGTTAAACAAATTGTTTCCTATACGTCAAAGGTTTTAATCGGCTACTTGGAGTCAACGTAATGATATTTATAAATAGTCAAAATTTATCATATTTCTTTTGCATTTGTACTTTTATTGACTGATTGTCACTGATGAATGTATTTTAGGAAATGGATATATCCCTTAACATCTCGTACAAATATCTTAGTTTGTAGTGATTGGTTAGGGCTATATAGAGTTTTAGTTGCTACTTTTACTACTGCTTTTTGGCTCTTGTACCTCATTTGACTAGCAAAATGAGCAAGTAGCTAAAACTAATGCATATTGAATCAAAATCATACCCTTTTTTGGCCATTCATCTAAGTCAAATATTAACAAAAGTATCCGTCAAATGAAGCCAAAATTTGTCCAAATCTTTCTTTAGTAGCATTGTCATAATTTCTACTTTTCGAACTAAGTTGTCGAAATTTCATGATGCAGCATCCTCTTTCTTATTCATGATGTCTATTTCTTGCAGATCCCTTCATTCTTTAGGGAACAGGTTTTTACTCAGAGACATAATAAAGTGACAAAGGTATCATTCAAGTTGTTTGGTGCCTTCTAATATTTTTCTGTTACTGCCATTTCCAAAGCAACTCATAATTTTTGCAAAATTGATACTTAAATAAAGATTACTTTTTACTGCTAATGTCCATGTTGTAGTTAAATTTGTTCTCTATTGATTCTTTTTCAACCTCTTTATTTGTATTTCTCTAATTTTAACATTAATATTTTTACTTAAAAGTTCTCACGTAGGTACTTGTATTTTACCTATCTATTCACACATTTTTGTATCTAAAATTTAAAACATAAAAAAAAAAATTACAAATATAGTATTTGTGCCAACCGCGTTAAAATTAAATTATGAGTCCAACTGAAATACTACTACGCTTAGGATCGACGTAATACAAATAGTTTTCAAATAAGTACTACCAACGAAGTTCTAGCCTATATATGTATAGAACCAAATTTTCTATAAACCCAATTTTTTTTCCCTTTGTTGTTTCGTTTTTCCTTTTCTCGGTGTGCATCAATGGCTACCCTCCATGGCAGTTGTGATTGCGTGTTTACCGTAGAACAGGTTGACACTTGCAATGAAATCCATAGGAAAGTCGTCGGCCTCAAATCTTTATGGCTTGCTCATTGACCAAGAACTCCAAAAACTGATTCAGGGATGCAGGGAAAGGGATAACGAGGAAGTATTGTTTTTAAAGATGGCAATCGAACTAGTTAAGGCAGATCAAGAAAGTACGAAGCAGAGGTGGTGTGGGTTGCTGATGCGGTTGTTTCAGCCCGAGTGCTTTGATATCGGCAAACTTGGGAGTTTTATTTTGGAACAAGAGGTTTATGACTTGATGAGCGCTAAAAGAGACGATGAATTGAAAATTTTGATGGCGGAGATTGAAGGGTTCATTAGGCCTATGGTTGAAAGAAATAAGAAAGTAAACGAGTTGATGATGGAACTGAATCGAATACCAAAGAAGTCGAATTTCACAAGGTGGAATCTTGGTCAATATGGTGATGATGAACCTTCGAGTCCTCACCCTGATCAAGGGTTCAAAAATAGTAGTATAGGTGACATGGGGAGGAGTCTGAGTGAAGTGGTGGTTGAGATGTATGGATTTCCACCTGATGTGGCATTGGACATACAGGAATCTGCAGCAACCGGAAACCTGGTCGGTGAAGCATCCGAGAATGCTTCCATGTCTGATGATGATCTCGATAGGAAGGGAGAAGGTTTTGATCCATTGGAGTATCTGGATCATCAAGTTTTTTCTGAAAATTGCGAACTGGAAGATGCAGAGACATTGAACTGGAAAAGTGTGAGAATAGCGAAACAAAAACTTGAAGATTTGAATATGAAAATATGAAATGAAGATGATGAAAATTTTGACTCTGCTTCTGGTTATTATGGTGAAAATATTCTAAAAGCAGTAAGGGATTGGGTGTTTCACATGGAATCTGTTCTTTGCGACCTTGTATATAATTTTTACAATATGATGTCAGCTTATAAACCAGCAATGACCAGGTTCCAGGACTTGAAGTCTACTCAAAGAAGAGAAAGAAAGACATGATGGGATGGTACCAATCATAGTCTATAAGATCCTTGCCATGCCAGAAATTCCATTCCAAGTAGTGGACATTGACAGGACAGTCTTGTACCAGGAAATCGAATTTGATGGAGTGATTAATGCATTCAAAAGAGTAATTTTACTTGTGGGATTTGTTCTGGAGAAAACTTCAGGCCTTCTCAATGCACAGACAATCGACAAGAAAGCATTGACTTTTTGTCAAACAATGCTCAATCAATGAGAGGAATTATTGAAAGAGATTGGACTGAACATCTATGGAGCAAAGTCCAGCTCAATTATAAAGAAAATGGAAGATCTTGAGCTCAAAGATCACCTCCAAAAGAAAAGGAAGTAAGAGAAGGCAAAAATGGTACTTTGGACTGAACTTGCATTGGCCTGCTATAGATAGAAAACTGACTCTAGATACATGAAGTCCACATTTGTTGATAAAACAAATACATCTAGAACATCTTGTACGGCTATATATTGGGTTTTCTTCATATGTCATATTTCTAATTTTTATTTGAAAAATGCTAAAGTATGAACTAGCTAGCTAGTTATTTGGATTTAGTGTCCATGAGTCGGATTAATTGAGATCAAGTTTATGAATTTATTTTAATTAAATTCAACTTGACTTAATTCATTTACATAATTATTATTTATATTATCAAAATAATAAAATAATCTCATCGATAATTAAATTCAAACTTACAAATTTATGCTCAAGTCAAGCATGATACCTCGACAGAGGAAGAAAGTTGGACCTTAGTTCTTACTAGCTAGGTCAAGTTGAGGTTGATTTTAATAAAAACTTGTCAAACCCAAACTAGAAATGAATTATCAGTACAAAATTTTATATGCTAAACCAAAGTTACTGTATAATCAAGATTTAGTTTGTTTTTAACTAAGATACAACCACCCTTATAAACTATGCCCATATATTTGGAAAGACTTGGTATGTTTTTTATTATTGAATCTATTCATTCAAGAAATTTCATCAGGTATAGCATTATTCCTAATTGGACCACAAAGTTGCTATTTCGATTTTAATAATTTCAGTATGTATAGTAATAATTTTGGACCACTTAATTAGTTTATAAATTTATAGCTAACATTATTCTCTCATAATTTCAGGTTTATTGTTTTAAACTTCAGCATCTAAATTGAAATTTTAAAAATTCAAAATTTAATTTAATTGATTTATATAATTATTTTTTAAAAAATAATATCTAATAAATTTAGAATTTAAATTTTATCATTTGCATCTTTTTCATATCTTCAAATTACGACATTCTATAAATAAACAAATTAAAACTTTTTATGTGAAACATTTTTACTAAAAAAAAAAAAGAAGAATGACCTAGTTAGTTATTAGTTCTTATTTATTTATTTATTTTATAATTTGTTCCTCATTTCTATGTATTGTCATTCAAAATTGGAGATTAAAAAAAAAAAAAGGAAGTTATTATTTGTTGTGAATAACATACCCCATGTATATAATTTCTAGTTAGTGCCACTGTCTATAATTAATTTGTTCTCTTTAATAAATCCAAAATCCATGACTAAATTATGCTTAGGCTGATCTAGGTTTTGCTAGAAAACTAATAAACTATAATGAACCTTTCCAGAATTAAAGGAAAACTGCGTACGATTATGAAATTTCACACATTTTAATTCATTATCCTTCATCTTTTGACAAATCATATACATTTGTGCCTTGAGGGGCTCAAGGTCAAAGCTTATGTTTTACTGTGCCATATATAAAATTTCACAAATTCCCATGTCTATTTCCTTATAAAAATTGGTGTTAAAACTTTCATATAATCACCAATTATTTAAAAAAAGAAATAGTTTTGGGGATATTTAATTTTTTTAAAAGTATAATTATAATGATGTAAAATTTTACAAAAAATATCGTAATTTTAAAATAAAAAATAGTATGTAAATTTTGAAATTTAAAATTTAAAATTGTTAAATTTTATATTTTAAAAATATTATATAAATTAATTGAATTAAATTTCGATTTAATTTTATAACCTTCTTCTCTTATTTGGAAGATAAATTGATATATAAATTAATAGTATCGTAACGTAGAAATAGCAAGAGTTACATCTAACGGTCCTTATCCTAAGTCACTTCCTTATAAATGTGGCACATGGTTGGGTTGGTTTCAGCCCCATCTTATACTTATTTTCTCTGATTTAGCCATAATGGGTCACTTCAAGTGACAAATTTTTTGTTGGGAAATTTATTTTGCTTTTTAAATTTTGAGTTGTTAAATTTCAAGTTATTATATTTTTGTTAATATTTGGTCAAAATAGGTTATAAGTCCCTATACTCTTCGATTTTTAAAAATTTAATCTCTATAGTATTATTTAAAAAGATTTAGTCATTCTAATATTATTTTTAGTAAATTTAGCCTCTATAGTATTATTTTTTAAGGAATTTAATCTGTGTATTGTTAACGATTAAACTAAAATCCTTAAAAAATAATACTATAAAAATTAAATTCCTTTAAATAATATTAAAGGGATTAAATTCTTAAAAATAAAAAAATATAGGGACCTATGATATATTTTGACCTTAATATTTTAATAATTAGATTAAAAATCAAATCGATTTTCTATTTAGTTTTTGTTTTAATCAATATGATTAATTGATTTAATATGATGAAAAATTCTATAATTTTAAAAATTTTCAAAAAAATTAAAAAATATATATGAAAGGGTTAGAAAAAAATAAAGAAAAATTAAAACAAATCTTGAAAAATCAGGAAAAAAAAAAATATAACCCTAAAACAACTTAAACATATATGAACTGAATGATCCAATTTGTACCACAATTACTACTTTTATCATTATATATATACACTAATGGAATGAAAGAAAGAGTTGTTTGAAATCCAATGCAACAAGTCATGCAAACATGGAAAAGGTTGAATTCCCAAGGCAATGTGAAAATGAAATCAAAGAGGAATTGAAGCTCTCAAAAATTGCTTTTTCCCTTCCATTTGAATTGGGTTATCATTAAAAGTGGTTGGAAAATACCCTATATATGAAAGAATATTTGGTTGAATTTACTACCTAAAGCATGTTAAGTGACTCTATTTTCATATAAAAACTCAGTCCCTAAAGCCTATATTATGACTGTGGGTCTTCATTATAATAGAAAATGATTTTTTTATTGGAAACAAAAGAAATAATTATATAATAAATATTAACATCATTATTAAAAAAAAAAACTCAGAAAAATATTAGACAACAAAAAAAGGTGATTGAATGATCACTCAACACAAGGGAGGACCACAGAGAATACAATTGGGCATTAATCAATGTAATGTCTAGAATATGTGAATTCTTTCTCCTATTTTAAATTCTGGATTTGAATTTGTTTATTTGATTTAATTCAAGGGTTTTTTCATAATTTTTATTTTTATTTTTAGTTGTAATTTCATTTTTTAAAAAATTAATTATTACATGGGTTATTTAAGACAAAATTTTTAAAGTTAATTAAATCAAATATCATTATGTTTTATAATATATAAATATATATATATATATATTATATACATGCACACCTTTTTATGTTTATTTTAAAATAAGATTAATTAAAAAGGTGCAAAAATTAAAATATGGTTATTTTAAAATTTTTAACATTTGAAACTTTTATTTTTTATATTTTAAAATTATATTTTATGATTTTTTTACTTTTAATATTAAAAGTCATAGAATTTTAATTTTATAAAAAATATTAATATCAATATTAAATATATTAAAATCAAAATTTTTTTCTTAAACTCCGTAAAAATCAATACTAATCAAATAATTTGAAACGAAGGGAGTACATGGTTAGTCAAATAATGAAGAAAATGTACTATGAAAAATAAGCCATATTATGGTTAAAAATGCCATTTATATATGGTCCTTGAAGGCCTAATAAAGTTGCTGTAATTTATAAAATCAAGAATTATAGGTAAAAGGGGATACTATACATAATAATACATTAATCAATTAATTAAAAACAAAGATATGAATTAATAAATGTGAAAGATGAGTAATATGGGAATGTGAGAGAGTTTAAAACTTAATTTGGAAATATTAATATGGTCCCTTTTTTTTTTGTGGTTGCTAGGTAACCTAATAACCCATCATCACTTTTTAATTAAGTCCTACACCTTTCTTTTTAAAAGGTAAGAGAGTAGGTCAATTTCTTTTTTTTTTTTTTTTTTATTTACATCAAACATCCAATAGAAAGAATTGAAAAGAGGGGTTGGTGATGATTAAAAGTAAAAATCTAGCGTGTAGTATGTGTGAGAATTTATTATTATATATACTAGAAAATCTATGCAGTAACACCTGGTAAACCATAGGAAAGAAGGCTTGATTGAACTTGAAGTTTGAAGGGTAATTAGTTTTTTTGAAACTTGAAAGAGGAAAAAAAAAAAAAAAAACGCAAACTCAAAGGAAGCTAAAAGCAAAGATGAAAAAGGAAAATGAAAAAATAAAAGAAAATAGGTGAAGTGGTAGTGTGGTAGTAATCCAGGCAGGAAAAAGATCAAATGGCATTTACTTCTCATTTATTGCATTCACCAACACTAGCGCATATTGAGAAGCTGCAGTTTCATCCACATTTAATGCTCTTTCTCTTCTCTTTTCACTACATTCTTGGATGCAACAAACAACAACAGCAACCTTCATCAACATCCTATCTTCACTAGATTTGTTGTCAAAAATTTTCATCTTTTTGTGAATCAACTGCATGCAAAGCAAAAGTATGAGCTAGTAGCCCGGGTTTTGCCAGCCAGAAATGCTTACTAAGCAACAGCTTCATGGCTGCTTAAGCTAGGTTGTCGCTCCAAAAGTGATCTAGTGAAAGTTTTTCTCATCCCAAGTTGCAGAAGGGTACGTCTTTCTTGACAAAAAAAAAAAAAGGAGAAACAAACACCGACTTACCTGCTAATTGGAGAGGAACAGTGACAGTGGTTTGGTTTCCATTCAAGAACTGCATAAGTGTTTTGATCTGGGCTTTTTGGTAAGGAGCTTCTGATATTTGGTTTTGGTTACATTCTCAACTCCATAGCTATTTTCTTGATGGAAATCATGTTTACACTTTATACTGCTGCTTAATTTTTGCTCTCTTTAAGCACGGATGCAATGCTACAGTATCAGGCAATTTCAATGTAGAATTTAGCTTTTGCAAGGCATTTTTACACTCCAGACTGTACTCTTTACTGATTTATTATATCATTCTGGGTTTAAAAGAGAAGCATACAACTTTAAAGCATGAATAAAGTCTGATTCAAATTCTAGTCCGGGTGGCAAATTGTATAGTGTTGATGTGGGTGTGGGTGTGGATTCCATTATCTTTGAATAGTTAGGTTCTGCAATGGGAGTTGTCAGCTTACTGCTGAGAGGTTCCTCTCTCTGGGTCTTGAGGAGCGCATGGAAAGTTGAATTTCTTGTACAACTTGTGGCTTTATTAAATTTGTGGTGGGTAGTTTCAGGTTTGGGCTCAATGTCAACCATTGCCATTTCCTATGGTGAGAATGGTCCTGTTTTGTGCGGTTTAAAATCTGATGGGTCTCATCTTGTGACCTGCTATGGATCGAACTCGGCAGTAATATATGGGACCCCTTCTCATTTCCCGATTCTAGGTCTAACTGCTGGTGATGGCTTTGTTTGTGGGCTGTTGATGGATTCCAACCAACCTTATTGTTGGGGAAGCAGTAGCTATATCCAAATGGGAGTTCCTCAGCCAATGATCAAGGGAGCTGAGTACATAGAAATCAGTGCAGGCGATTACCATTTATGTGGTTTGAGAAAGCCTTTAACAGGAAAGCGTAGAAAATTTTCTTTTGTTGATTGTTGGGGGTATAATATGACCAAGAACTATGTATTCGATGGGCAGATCCAATCAATCTCTGCAGGCTCTGTGTTTAACTGTGGATTGTTTTCTCACAACAGCACTGTTTTCTGTTGGGGTGATGAGACCAGCAGCCGTGTCATTAGCTTGATTCCGAGAGAAATGAGGTTTCAAAAGGTTGCAGCCGGTGGTTATCATGTTTGTGGAATTTTAGAGGGATTGAATTCTAGAGCCTTTTGCTGGGGAAGGAGCTTGAACCTTGAAGAAGAACTCTCGGTGGCATATTCTCGTCAAGGAAATGTTGATTTGCCACCAAAAGATCCAATGCTTACGGTTGTTGGAGGAAAGTTCCATGCTTGTGGAATCAAGAGCTCTGATCATGAAGTGGTTTGCTGGGGTTTTATTGTCAAACCGAGTACCCCTGCTCCTCGAGGCGTTAAAGTCTATGAAATTGCAGCTGGAAATTACTTCACTTGTGGTGTTATAGCCGAGAAATCCTTTCTCCCAGTTTGTTGGGGTGTTGGGTTCCCTACCTCACTCCCTCTGGCTGTCTCATCTGGACTTTGCAAAGACACTCCTTGTGCACCCGGTTTCTATGAAGTTCGTCAAGAGAATGCACCTTGCAAGTCTCCTAGCTTTCATATTTGTATGCCATGCAGCAATGGCTGCCCTGCTGAAATGCACCAAAAATCTGAATGTACTTTGAAAGCTGATCGAGTGTGTGGTTTTGATTGTTCTAGTTGTATCTCAGCGAAATGCTTCTCTAACTGTTCTTCTTCATATTCTGATGCTGCTAATGGAAGAAAGAATGAAAGGTTTTGGTCACTGCAACTGCCAATCATCATTGCGGAGATTGCCTTTGCTGTGTTACTGGTGACTATTGTGTCCTTATCTGCAGTCCTATATGTTCGCTACAGGTTGCAGAAATGTCCCTGCTCATCAAGAGAGTCAAAGTCCAAGAAAGCCAAAGGGAGTGCTCCTTACCAAAAAGACAATGGGAAAATCCGTCCCGACTTGGATGAGCTTAAGATCAGGAGAGCTCAGATGTTCACTTACGAAGAACTTGAGAGGGCCACAAGTGGATTTAAAGAAGAATCCGTAGTTGGAAAGGGGAGTTTCTCATGTGTTTATAAGGGGTTATTGAAGGATGGGACTGTTGTTGCAGTCAAAAAGGCTATAATGTCTTCAGATAAGCAGAAGGATTCAAAAGAGTTCCACACAGAGCTTGATCTACTGTCAAGACTGAACCATGCCCATTTACTGAATCTGCTTGGCTATTGCGAAGAAGGTGGAGAACGGCTTCTTGTTTATGAGTTCATGGCTCATGGATCTTTGCACCAGCATCTCCATGGAAGGTACAAAGCCTTGAAAGAGCAATTGGATTGGGTCCGAAGGGTCACCATTGCAGTCCAAGCTGCCCGGGGTATTGAATACTTGCATGGTTACGCTTGCCCACCAGTGATTCACAGGGACATCAAATCCTCAAATATTCTTATTGATGCAGAACACAATGCTCGAGTGGCTGATTTTGGTCTCTCTTTGCTTGGACCGGCCGATAGTAGCTGCCCCTTGGCTGAGCTACCGGCTGGAACACTTGGTTATCTTGATCCAGAGTACTATAGGCTTCACTATCTCACAACTAAATCCGATGTCTACAGCTTTGGTGTTCTGCTTTTGGAAATTTTAACTGGACGAAAAGCCATTGATATGCAATATGAAGAAGGGAATATAGTGGAGTGGGCAGTTCCTCTGATTAAATCAGGAGATATATCTGCAGTTCTGGATCCTGTCTTGAAACCTCCAGCTGATCTTGAAGCCTTAAAAAGGATAGCAAATGTGGCTTGCAAATGTGTTAGAATGAGAGGAAAGGATAGGCCATCTATGGATAAAGTGACCACAGCCTTAGAGCGGGCTCTTGCACAGTTGATGGGCAGTCCATGTAATGAACAACCAATTTTGCCAACTGAAGTGATCTTGGGAAGCAACAGATTGCACAAGAAGTCCTCTCAAAGGTCTTCAAATAGGTCAGTCTCGGAAACTGAGGTAGCAGAACCTGAGGATCAAAGGTTCGAATTCAGAGCTCCTTCATGGATTACCTTCCCTAGTGTAACTTCTTCTCAGAGGAGAAAATCCTCGGTATCTGAAGCTGATGTTGATGGAAAGAACTTAGAAGGGAGAAACATGGGAAATCTGGGGAATGTTGGGGATGCTTTGAGAAGCTTGGAAGAAGAGATAGGACCTGCTTCTCCTCAAGAAAGCGTGTTCTTGCAGCACAATTTCTAAAATGACCCATGAAAATGTTTTGAATTGCTGTCTATCTGTGAGGGTTCAGGTTAGTTTGTTGAAGGAAATGGAAATGTAAAAATGGAGAATGGGAGGATATAATTTTCAGGATTCTAGTACTACCACTGCTGCTTTCATGACTACCACATCTTGTTTTGTAACTCTAAGCTGGTTAATTTTGTGTGACTCAATTCTAACAACTTAATGTCGTGTTTGTGTATGTTAATCTGAATTCTTTCTTGTGACTATTGTACTGATAGCAACTTCTTTGCTCCTACTGGATGAAATTCCTGTTTGCTGTTCAGTTGCTCAATTATAAGCTTCTGTCCCCTTTTTTTCTTGCACAATAACTGCCCCTTTGAGTTAATATCAGTGACAACATGCTTGAATTTTTCAACTTCCTCACTACAATGGAAATTTTCAATTTGCTTGAAATATTTAAGTTTTGCATGTCAAAAAAATTAGTCATCCATAAAAACAGTTTGCATCAAAACAAGAAAAAAAAACCAAAAAAAAAAAAAAAAAAAAACCAATTTAAAGTTTTCACAGCCTATACCATAAATTAACAAGCATTAACAGAGCAGTTAAGTTTGTAATATTACAAGCACTTAATCAAACTGAACAGGATCCATTTCAAACAGGATTAGAGGACATAAATTAATTCTTTAAATCCATTTCAAACGGTTCTTGCAAATAGAAAGGGAACTAGGGCACCATTGGTGGGATGCGTTCGGATTCTTATAGGAATCCATGCAATCTGGCATTATGCACACACACACATGGAGAGAAATTAGAGCGAACAAGTTCTTTTCCAAAATGAGAAACCAAGATGTATTCTTTCCAAAATGAGAAATCAAGATGTATTATTGTGATTTTCCTTGTTGATAACTATATCATTGACTATTGGTTTATTTCCTTTTTCCTATTCTATGGACCTGTGAGTGTTGACATATTTACACTAGCTTCAACTGAATTATGTAACATGTAATATACTGTGAGTCATGGTACAGAAAAAAACTTGATACAAAAACTACTCAGTGTCCGCGGTAAATTCATGCAAAATCCTGTAGATTGCGTGCTCCATCTAGCACCAGAGGAGACAACAGAGAAGAATTCTGAGTCATACACCTAGGGTTAATAACATGCATTCAGTTCACGGAAAAATGACAAAGAAAATCTCCTCTTAGCACAACTACAATCAAAGCATTATAAGTATATTCAGGAAACTGAGAAAGTATTGATTGGATCATGATTAGGCATAGGGCGACTAAGAACCTGATATTTGACGAAGACAGAACTAGCTCCAAACTGAAGGGTTTCTAAATTGTGTTCTCATCGCATTCAACAGAAACCTGACAAGATCTTCTCTCTTAACCTCTTTCTCCTTCTTAAGATCAAGATGACGAACCTGAAGATATTATCATTTTAAGGTTAAGTTGAACATGCCGGTAAAGATAGGACATCACATAAATGCATAGATATGTGACAATTTTGATTTAATTAAAAAGAACCCACTTAATGTCCTAGTAGTAGCAATAATTTAAAAAAAAAAAAATCAGAAATAGCCTCCCAGATCATAATTACCTTAACAAAGCCAGTTTGAGATAAACCCATGTCCGTTATGATAACAAGACATTTTATCTCATGTTCACTTGCATATTCATATTGCTCCCTGAGACTTGGATCAGGTACAGTGACAAGCTCAGCCTAATGCATAGGAATGCAAAATGAGTATGAAGCAATGAAGAGAGTTCAAATGACAATATTCCATCACAAAATAAAAGTTAAAAAAACAAGGTTCTATCTGCACCTTGATATTCTCCTCCCACAACTCAGCAACAAGTTCCATGCGTTCAATTAACAAACCGCCTCCTCCTCTTGAACAAACAAGGATGCTGGTGGTAGCTTCATTTCTGCAGCAGTAAACACAAAGGTGATGACCCAAGAGTATGGTCAAAGAATAAAAACTACGGCAGAAAAGACAGAGATAAGCAATAGGAAGAAACAGCACCTAATAGGCTTGAAATCTACAGGGGAATGCTGGATTATAGTCTCAAGTGCAAGGCTGGTGCCCACAGCTCCTGGAGGATTTGTTTTCTGGAAGGAGGAAAAAAACATGTCACTAAATATACAAGATGCGCTTTAATGCTTGAAATTATATAAGTAAACGAGGGTACTAGCAAACACATTTATGTTGATCAAACTAACCCTAGTTATTTGATTTATGTTTATTACACATTTATGTTGCATGGCAAGTGCTTATTAATACACACGTAGTACAAAAATGAAAAGTAGGACAGGAATCATAGATGCATAACCTACATATTCATTATCCCACATTTGATGAAGCAGATAGTCATAGCGACCACCAACAGCAAGCAATGCACCTTCAGTAGGAGATCCGGGATGGTTCTCCTTTAAGTATATCTAGGCAACCAAATTAGAAAATGTTATCTAAATAGTGACAGATGTGAATACTATCTATATACACCCTCATAGGCAGAACCAGAAAAAAAGAACAAAGAAAATGAAGTGTCAACAAAGATTATGGGCAATTACACCCATAGGTCTATATCTTTTATGTTAACATAGGATATTGTTATGATACGCTTTCATATATTATAATTATCACAAGAGTTTACATATAACATATGATGGTGAAGCATTAAATAGTACATACAAAAGTATAAACAAACTTTGATCTTGAGGCCAAGGTCAAAATATACATTTCACAGCCAACTTTCGCTAAAGAAAAAATAGTAAATTCTACCTTCATAGTTAGAAAATGCTTGCAATTGCTTCTGAAATCAAATTCAAACTCCAACAGCTAAGCTAGCGATCATATTCAGTTATTCAGTATCTTTATGAGATTAAACTAATTTTTTAGAAGATTAGTTCTCTCTTAGGAAAAGCTAAAAATCAAAAACAACTTTTTGTAAGTGTAAAAATTTGTAAGTGCAATGCAATCCAACCAATTCAAATCCAAAAACCATTGGATGAAGGGGTTTAATAATGCCTTGAGAATGAGCATGTAAGTGCAAGAGAATGGGCTCAAGCGTCCCAAGAAGAACCACTTAGTAAATAAAAATGAAGTAGAAGAACCCAGATTCCAAATGAACAAATTCAAACTTGAAAAGGATCTTTCTGATTCTCGAAGAATGAGGGGCAAAGGGATTGATCGAGAAAGATCTCTTGTTCTTATTATAAGATCGTGTGATTGGATCCGCAGATGTTTGGTAAAAAAAATATTCTCTTTTGAGAATAATCAAAAATGGAAAGTGTTCAATTGAAACATGAAAACATAACTGAATGTCCTAGTTACTCCTCAGGACAGAGTGGAAGAAGGTTGAGATTCTCGAATGAGGAAAAGGACACAATGACTTCAAAAGAATTGAATGAGGAGCCGTATGAGGTGAAAATCTCATTAACAACTAAAGAGTAAGTGAGTAACATCATTCAAGTCATAATTATGCATCATCAGAAAGTTATCAATTACTGCCTTAAAGATAGATGGCTATGGTAGCTATGATGAACATTCTTATGTGCACTATAGTGACAGAATGGTATGGTAAGGTTGCATAAACATATGCATAGGTGCATTCACATCATGATTGCATGGTACATAAACACACACACACGCACAAAATAGTAAAAACAAATAAAGTTGTCATACCTGAAAAAATATATCTCTATGATAATTCTCAGTTGGTGGCATTAATGCATCTATATAAACATGTTTTTCAATCCTCCAGACCCTTAAGTAACTAAAGAGGTCTGACAACTCATCAAGCGCTTTGCGCGTAGGTTTATCTGCAGAGAAAGTGGAGATTCAAATAAGTATATTACCTCTCAAAATGATATCCTGGATCAATAATAAAGACCATACCAGCTGGCAAAGCTCCCCTCAATCGAGGGAGGGCCTGGTCTGCAGGTCCACAGAATCTTAAACCAGCAGTCTGCAATCTATTTACAGTAGCTTCTGCTAAATTGAGTTCCTGGAAAAGAATGGAATTTAGAAAATAATAAGTAAACCATCACATTAAGTTATATCAAACACAGGATTTCAAGTTTCATATAATTCACTTCAACACTTATTCAAGATTGTATGTGACAGTGATCATGCACTAGTGACCAGAATCACATGAATTATATGACTACCGTCAAAAGATTATCTATAGCTGCTTGGGAAATTCAAAGTTACTTAGCTCTTGAACAGTTGACTTATAAACATCGAAAGCTTCATGAATCATCCTACATGAAGCAGAAAGGTTCTTTTTAAGTTAGAATTTGTTCATTGGAAATTTGGGTTATTCTATCAAGGCACACAAAATATAGAGTAGCTTTTATCAGGATTGAATAAATAGAAAACAACTCAAACATGTATTGTTACCCTCCTTTCTGTTTGTTCTGAAGTAACTTTATGCATTGACACTACTTAATGAGAAATAAGAAGCAAAATGCAAATAATTTCTTTAAGAATGTTTAAATTAGCAGCCAAAGTTTTCCATTAGATTTTATAAAATTCCATCATTCAGCAAAATAGGTCAGTCATTTTAAGCTAAATATAAAATAAGGGGATACGCAAGACAGTGTTTTAGAACATCATTTCCTGAAAGTATAGGGTTCTATGACATCATATCAAGGTCCTGCAAATCATGTTATTCTTAAAGTTGTAAAAATCAAGTAAAGCACTTGGCAGTGAACCTTGCACTTTCTTATGCCTTGACTATAGGAAAAATGTCCTAACCAGATAAAACAATTGCTACTGGTATGGGCGTAAAAGAATTTGACTCATTGAAGGTAACTTAATTTATCTTGTACAAAGAGCAATGCCCAGTGACCCTAATCAATTTGATCATAAACCATTGACGTGCAAATACAAAACAAAAAATCATTCTGATGAATCTGGTTACAGGACTGTCAAGTAGGACAGGTATGTATAATATATTTTACCAAGCCATCCAATTTTGTAGGTCCTATATGGTAAAAATTCCCAAAAAGAACATCAAACCCTAGAAATCTGCTAAATAAGGTTTCACAGCCAAAATTCTTTAGGACAAGTCAAGCATGCATCATCTATCCTCAGCTGTTTCATAGCATGCCAACACCAGCAGATATCTCTAAATTGTCAAGTCCAAGAAACTGGGATCACCACCTCTGGAAGGTTAGAATGTTAACTATGCAGAATCCATATAATTCCCAAGCTGGGTTGTTCATCCAAAATATTTGGCAACTCAAATAAAAATTCAAACCGTACACCACTTTCAACCAACATGGTCTGCTTCTAAAGTTACAAGATACAATAAGCACAAGAGCCATTGAAGTCAACTTTCTCCAGCTAAAATAATGACCTTACATGAGGCCCTGATCATTCTTGGAAACATAGGCCTTATCATATAAACCACTAACTGCCTGAATATCTGCTTGGTTTAATTGTAATCATGTCAGCAAATACTCAATACACAAAAAAAAGACAACAGTCACTGCAACTTTATAAGACACTGAGAAGTACAAGATCAGTAAAAACATTATTTCAGTGGCAACTTTTACGGCTACTTAAGGTAAGGCTAAGCACATGCATTAAGTGTGTTTCATAGATTCCCAAACCTGCAAAAGCTGACGCCTTATAACAACCCACTTTAACTTTCGTTCAGATGATTGAGGACGCAAAGAAGCCATCATTGAGAGAAGCTTTGGTCAATTGAGGAACCAATTGTCAGATCAAAACTTTACATACTCAATAAACGCATCTTATAAATCAGCGACATACCTCAGCTACTTTCTGCCGGTGTTCTGCATTTATTCCTGCCCAAGACCAAATTGCCTCAAGCAGGTCCCCATGATTAAGATGAATATCACAGAACTCTGAGTTAAAGAATCGAGTTAAAATGTCCATTATCACCTGCAAATGAGTGCAAGATGAGTCAAAGTATAATGAATTTAGTACTAGATCATGGCAGCACATAACTGCCTATACATAAACTGAACCTTACTGCATGACAATTTACTCAAGCTAAGTGCATGCACATGAGATGGTAATACAGATTCCGTAATCCTGAAGAGCTAGATTTACAATGAATATAAAAGCCATAAAAATCACATTTTGAACATATTTCCTTTTCAGGTTGATAAAAACAATGCTGTTTTATTTCTCAGGAAAAAGTGAAAACAGATCCTGTTTTTAATGAAGCCCAGCACCTTCCTCATAGATGGTGAAATGTCTAGGAAGTAAAGTATCCCAAAGATCACTGGAAAATCACAATTGAAATGCAGTGACCTTTAAAGTAATTACAATAACTTGAAGATCTAATAGTACAACGGTAGATAACATAACAATAATTCTAGTTGTAACAGGAAAGCAGCCATGCCAACATTTTACGAGACAATCCAGAAGTTATTTCATCGGCATCCCTGTAAGATACAATTTGGTTCGCTGAGCATCATTGATAAAGGAGATGAAGAAGAAGAATGGCTATGCCATCATGTTGGTTATAACACACATGGTTGAGCTAAAAACATAACCACGTACAAGACAAAACAAGATTACATAACCTACATTACCAGAGAAACAATAGATAGATATATCAAGAATATATATAAATAAATAAATATATATATATAAAAGATGACAGTACCTTGAGAACCTCTCCCTCTGTCAAAGCTGATGCACCTCCAATAATGTCAAAATCACCCTATTGGCAATCAACAGTCTTAGCGTACAAAATTACCATAAAATTTTACAAGAAAGCACTATACATCATATTAACTCAAAACATTGTTGGTGAAAAGGTGCATCACAGCATAATTTTTACAATTTCTATACCTGAAGATAGCGATTTGGAGGTGAATGACCAATGGCTCTTCTATAAACAGATGATATCTCATATCGCTTGAATGAAAATTTCTAAGACAGATAAAATAGAAAATCATATTATTTCAAACAAATACCGATCAAATATCTAATAGGAGTCATGTACCGGAAAAAAAAAGTGCAGATCAGAGACAATAAGATAAGCATGTATGTGAAAAAAACCAAGGAGAGAAAAACCAGTTATCTACTATTTCAAACAGTTAACTTCAACAACTAAGTAATAGATAAACTATATGTATAAAGGAAGTGCTAGCCACAAGTTATCTACCCTATTCTGTTTCTAGAGCTTTTCAAGAAAACCTAATAAATTTGAGGTCATAACTGATCTGGGAGTCCTAACGTCTTTATTTGAATACTTGGATATTATATTGTCAGTGAAGCTAGCTAGTAAACAAAATCTTATATTATTACATTCTAGAGATGTTAAATGTAATCTTTGTTTTTTTTTTACTTTCAAATCGCAAGCAGAAGCTCAAAGCCTTAAAATAAGTCTTAAAAAGTAAAGTAATAAACAAGGATGAATATTAAATTAAAGAACAACAAAATTTACAGTTTTACAATTTTAATTATCCAATAATATTTTCAATTCTAAGAATAATAATTTTTTTGGCTACTTTGCGGAACATGTGTTTTGAGAATAGAAAACAGAAAGCTAGAGATAAACATGGATATGAAAGACCAGTAAAACTTAGAGATAAGAATTGTGTAACTGAACAACATTACATAATGCACCAAAATGTTAGAATGTTAATTGACCATTTGAAGGTCAATTTTTTTAAATGTTCTTAAAATTCCTATTTGAATATCTCACTGTAAGTCGAATGTCTATAATGCATTATTGAGAATTAATGCATGCATATATTGTGTTTCTTATCTGTCATCAAGCTCTTGAAATCCACAACTGAGTCTATAGTAGAAATTTAACAATCTTATTCTGACTATATGATTCTATCCACAACTGTCTAATGCCTTCCCCAAGAGATACTGAACACTAGACACCACGATATAAAGCAGTCCATTAAAGTAAATGACTCTATTCACAACCTTATTTCATTTACAAAATTAACTGCACCCACTTTTCAACAATTTTGAATATCTTCATTTCACATAATTTGAATCATTGAAACCCGACAGAGAAAGGAAAACATAATTTATCTCTGTTACGAAAAAAACTGCAACATAACTCTTGAGTTCAAGAATTTCTTCTTAATCTTAAACCAATTGATTCCATTTTTTTACTAACACCACCAGCTTTGTAACTCGAACACTAAAATGCACTCTCCATTAATCATATGATCTAGCAGCCTAACAAACAAAATGGAAGTTTACAACCTATCCTATAGTAAGAAATGCAAAATATTGTGATATGATTTAAGATGAGAAACTTTACACAAATGATCAAAATTCAGAAAAGAACACAACAGTGAAATGGAGAATGACAACTGATATTCACCAATTTTGTACATTAAATAAACCCTTTGCTCCAAAAGTACTATCATAGTTGACATTTTCAAAAACTTTTACCTAATTTTGTTTTAAAATAAACAGTTAAAATGCCCCTGGAAAACTAGATGAGTCGATAAGGTAATGTATGAAAATAAAAGATAATTCTGCTGAAAACAACTCAAAGCAACTCATCGAAGCCTTAATGCCAAACTAGTTGTGGAAGGATACAACAATTTATATTTTCAATAAAAAGATTTATTTCAGTGAATCAAATTTATAAAATATAGACAAATATGGCTTGAAAAAGTCAACTACAATAGTATTTTTGCAATGGAGGGAGTAATTGGTTTTTGTTTGCAATGTCCCAACAGAGAGGAACACAAATGAAAGGAAGATAAAATGAAAACATAGGTGAAACTTTTGAGATAAGTTTTGTAGCAATACCTGGTTTGCTACCATCCAACTAACAAAAGGTAGACGCAGCTCATGACAGAGTTCAAGCATATCTCCTCCGTGAGTCAGAAGTTTGACAGTATTCCTTGTCATACAAACCAAATGTAATTAGACAGTTGTACCTTTGAAGAAAAAATACAAGGATTTTGAAAATGAAATGCACCTATAGAACTGTGGACAATCATCCAGCAGACGCATGGATACTATTTCGAGATGCCTTGCACAATGCTGTTTGAACACTTCCCTGGAGACCTCAGCAACATAATCACGAAGTTCAGTGTCTAAATCTGCAAACTGGATAGAAGAAGTATCATGTTGAACCATTCTCAATCTACCAGCATTCTGGTGATGGTTTTTCATTCCTAACATTTCTTCATCAAAAATGGCATTCACAACTTTGTCATACACACTTGTGTCCTCAGAAGTCTGCATCGTACGTAGAATATCTGAGTATAGGAGGGAAAGAAATTAGCCAAACTGGTGATTGATGAGTGGCAGGTTGATCTTTCTAAACTATATTTACACCAAATTACAAACTAATTTATTATATTATGACCTGTTGAGAGAGCTTAAACAGCAGAATATCAAACAGCACATAGCAGCTCATCTTCATATTTGATTATATTACAAGCTAGTTATGCATCAATATTACATTAAAATTTTACTTAAACTGACTAGAGAACTTATAATAATGAATTATTTCCATTTTTATTAAAATCATAAGAATCCTTTTAGTGAGAAAGAGATTCCTTTTTTGCCCACTGAAACAAGAGTTATGACAGATGAGTTTACTGAATTCCATTAACACACTTGAATCTAACTTGGATAAAAAAAAGTTACCTAGGAGGTTTCTCACGAGTTAAATAGAAAATGAATGTTATTATGGTTAACAAGTACGCATGTTGTCATCATTCCTGAGATCAAAGATACATGATATATGACACCAGAAGGGATACCTCCCTTGTGTAAATGAAGTGTGCAAAACGTGTATTTCAATCACTATCATTCAATGCCTCCTTTGCATACCAGTCAGTTTTTACATTAAAACTATGCTTCCCCCACTAATATCACTCTTAAAAACAATTTTTGTGGACAAAAATAAAGTTTTGTTTTAGAAATATTCCTAAACGATGCTTGAGTTAAAATATAGAGGGTATATCTAAAATCTTCTAACTACTAACCTTAATATTTTCACCTCTTGCTTAGTAAGAACCACATTGTAATACTTGTTTGTGTTTAAATTACATACTCAATATTGCTCAAATATTCATTCAAAGATTTTCATCTCTTACAGGTTGTTGAAAATAAAAAATAAAAAAAAAGCCTGCACATAGTTGTATGTGTAGGCATGTATCAATAGTTTGTACTATGTTTTTCTCTTCCCTTCCCCCCCCCCCTTTTTCCTTAGTCATTTGAAAAGTTAAAGTACCAATCAATCACAAAGTCAACCTGCAACAAGTAAGTCATTTAACAGCATATTATTAGAGAAAATATATGCACATGAAAATACAGGAAAAAAATGTTGCCTAGAAATTAGTTACTTACTATCCAACAGCTCATATTCCATTCGTGGAGGGAAAGCATTTTGCAAAAGTTCTGGGGCAGATGGGCGATCAGAAGGACTTTGAGACATTAAGCATCGTAATAATGATGCCTGTTCCGGAAATTCAGCTACCCATGCAGTAGGAAGTTCTCCTTTCTGTTTCAAATCAGATAAAACAATGTTTCTCTCCATTGCTGTCCCAAAAGGGTGCCAAAGCTCAAAGAACACAACTCCTAAACTGTACATGTCAACCTGGAAGATAAAACAACTAACAGCAGTCATAACATAAGCTATGAAACTGTAAAAGTGCAAATAATCTAATAATAAAACTCCATTGAGGATTTGACTCGATGGCAGTACATGCATTTCTTGGTCATAGAGCTGGACTAAAATCCCCTTCCCTCAATCTTAAAAAAAAACTGTTCGGGACTTGGAAAAACCAAAGAAGGCACTATCATTCACCTTCTCATCAATCTTTGGCCATCCCTGCTCAATTTCGGGTGCAGTGTAAAGATAGGTACCAACTTGACCGGTACCATCAATTGAGACTCCAGCTGTGTCTGTTGGGAAACAACCATCCTGGTCCACTTGCTCAAACCTCAAGAATTTTGCTGAAGCCAGAGGAATGAAAAAACAAATTTTATGTCATTTTCAGTTTTGGGCTCCTAGTATCTAACAAACATGGCCATGATCAAAATTTTAAAAAGGGCAACAATATTTTCGTCACTGACTAGTTACAGTAGCTACTAGATCACATTTTAAAAGGAACTAAACCTGTCCCTTTCAAAAAAGTAAAATAAAACAAAGGGTTAATGTCATAAATGACTCCTAAATTATGGTGCAATATTTAATGCGGTACCTGAACTTTAAAAATCTCTAATGTGGTACATAAAATATGAATTTGTTAACTAATGTGGTAATCACCCCTAACGTGGCTAGTTTCAAATGATGACACATGAAGGACAAACAACTCTCCAAGTACCACATTAGTTAATAGATTCATGGTTCAAGTACCACATTGAACATTTCACTATAGTTTGGGGGTATTCATGACATTAACTCTAAAAAAGTAAGTTATAATAAGTTGAAAAAACCAATATCCTCTTTAAAAATTTAATTTGGTGATTGTTAGAATTTCTTTTAAAAGATCTGTGGGAAAACATTTATTTATAGCTGGTTGTAATCTTGTAATCTCTGTATTTATATTTGTATCTCTAGAATTAAGTATTTGTATCCCTAGAATTAAGGACAAAAAATTAGGATAGACAATCCCTCAATTATAGGATCAATTTTAGGAAGATTTAGTTTCCTAGTTTAACCCCTATTTAGTTGTATATAAACCTAAGGTTCTTGTATAATTCTAAAAGAGTAGTTTTTTAATACATACAATTTTTCTTTTAGTTTTTCACACAGTTTTATTTCTTAGTTTTTCCACATGGTATCAGAGCTTTAGGCTTTTCTTGGGAAGCAAAATTTTTCAGCCTCCATTGCTGACTTCTATTTTAGGCTTTCATTGCCAAACCCCGTTTAGACCTTCATTGTCGAACCCTATTAAGACCTTCATAGCCATTCTATTTTTCCCTTCTTTCGCCTTCATTGCTAAGAGTCATTTCTGGTTATATCTTAAGACTTGTTTCAGCTCAAAGAAAGATATCACTACCACCCAATTTGAGGAAGTGTCAATTGGAAAAATCACTAGAGTACTACAGATGTCTCAGAAACAAGGAGAGTTCGACAGAGAAGAGATTGAAAAGCTGAGAAACCTATTGAAAACCCTTGAAAAGTCTACTGTGGTATGTTCCTTGGGTAAGGTCTCTAGTTTAGGTAAAGCTTCTGATTCTCATGGATTAAATGTCTCGGTTAAGCCTACTACGAGTTCTTGGGTCATCGACTCAGGAGCCACAGCCCATATGACACATTCCTCACAGAAGTTTAGTACATATACCCTGTGTCCTAGTAATAAGAAAATTGTTGTTGCAGATGGTTCACTTACTACAATGGTAGGATTGGGAGATGTTCAAGTTAATCCCTCGTTTGTTCTCAAAAATGTTCTTCATGTTCCTGGATTGTCTACTAATCTGATATCTATACAAAAACTTACCAAAGATATGAATTGCAAAGTGACTTTTTATCCCTCTTATTGTGAATTTCAAGACTAGAGTTCAGGGAAGAGGATTGGGCTTGGTAAGGAGAAGGATGGACTATACTATCTTGAGACATCAAATAACACAAGTAATATCAAGAATAGTTTACCTTTGTCATTTCTTTTTGAAAAATCTTCCAATAAGGACAAAATTGGCTTTATCATTTTCGTCTTGGACATCCTTCGTTCGAAACTTTGAGAAACATGTTTCCTTCTTTGTTCAAAGGATTAAATGTCGAAGATTTTCATTGTGATGTTTGTGAACTTGCAAAGCACAGACGTGTGTCTTTTCCAATTAGTAACAAAAGAAGTTCTACTCCCTTTTACTTGATTCATAGTGACATTTGGGGTCCCTTTACAATTCCTAATATTTCTGGTGCAAGATGATTTGTTTCATTCATAGATGATTGTACCAGGGTCTTTTCGATTTTTTTACTTAAATCCAAATCAAACGTGAATAGTGTGTTTTTAAGCTTCCAAAACATGATCCAGAATCAATTTGGAGTGAGAATCAAGAGATTTAGGTCGATAATGCAAGAGACTATTTCAATCAGAGTCTATCCACCTATTTTCAAAAGGAGGGGATTATCCATGAGTCATCTTATGTTAATACTCCACAACAGAATGGAGTGGCAGAGAGAAAAACAGCCATTTACTAGCCACAACCCAAGCCTTCCTTTTTCAAGCAAATGTACCCAAATCTTACTAGGGAGAAGCTGTTCTCACTGCCACACATGTTATAAATAGGTTACCTTCAAGGGTTTTGGGATTTAAAACTCCTATGGAACTACTGTCACAATTCTATCCCAACCTCAATACCACAAATAACCTCACACCTAGGATATTTGGTTGTACATCATTTGTTCATGTTCACAGTCATAACAGGGGAAAGTTGGATCCAAGAGCGATTAAGTGTATCTTTGTGGGGTATTCATCAACTCAGAAAGGGTATAAGTGCTATCATCCTCCTACCAAAAAATTCTATGTGTCTGCAGATGTCACTTTTGAAGAAAACAAACCATTTTTTACTCAACCTTATCTTCAGGGGGAGACTTCAATCATGGAAGATAAGGATAAAGACTTCTTTTTGCTTGATTTGTCCCATTCTTCAACATTTTCACCCATTAATTCTTCTAAGTCGAAACTTGTTTCTGCTAAGCCCAAGTCAAACACTGAATTTAAGTCTAAACCCATTCCAAATACAGAAGATGTGACAAAGGATAATATTGTTCTTGATTCTATGAAGGAATTACAGATGTACTCAAGAAGGAAAGTTCCAAATCCTGAACCAATACCAGTCCAAGAACCTGATCCTAACTCTGGAAATGAGGTAACTACATTTTTTTACTCTATTTCTCAAAATGAGCATGAATCTCCTAAAACTATAACTAGTGATTATGATCTGCCTATTGCCATTAGGAAAGGAACCAAAGAATGTACTAAGCATCTACTATACCCAATCTTTAATTTTGTGTCATTTGAAAAATTCTCACCATCTCACAAAAATTTTCTTGTGAGCCTAAACACTATTTCTATTCCAACTACATTATCCGATGGCATTATCCAGTGAGAAATGGAGGCAAGCCATCAAAATAGAAATGGAGGCTTTAGAGAAAAATAAGACATGGGAACTAGTAGAGTTGCCTAAAGGAAAAAATCCAGTGGGGTGTAAATGGATTTTCACTGTAAAATACAAGGCGGATGGTACTGTTGAAAGGTATAAGCCAGGTTAGTGGCTAAGGGTACACTCAAACCTATGGAGTGGATTATCAGGAAACCTTTGCTCCAGTTGCCAAGATGAATACAATTAGGATTTTGTTATCATTGGCTGAAAATTACAATTGGCAGCTTCAACAATTTGATGTAAAGAATGCTTTTCTACATGATGATTTGGAAGCAGAAATATATATTAAGGCTCCACCGGGATTTGGCGGTCATCTAGAAGCAAACAAAGTATGCAAGCTGAAAAAGGCTTTATATGGCCTTAAACAGTCTCCTAGGGCTTGGTTCGAGAGATTTGCCAAAGTGATGCTAGCAATGGGATATAAACAGAGTCAAGGAGATCACACATTGTTTATCAAGCACTTTGATTCAAGGAGAGTCATAGTTCTATTAGTGAATGTTGATGATATAATTGTAATTGGAGATGATGAAAAAGAGAGAAAATCTCTAAAACAGTGTTTGGCTAGAAAATTTGAGATAAAAGACCTAGGGAGATTGAAGTACTTCCTAGGAATTGAAGTAGCTCATTCACGGCATGGTATTTTCATCTCACAACAGAAATATGTGATGGATCTTCTAAAAGAAATAGGGAAGCTCACATGTAAACCTGCAAATGCCCCTATAGATCCTAATCATAAAATTGGAGAAGCTAATGAAGATGCTACTGTAGGTAAAGAGATGTACCAAAGATTAGTTGGAAGACTCATTTATCTCTCACATACTAGACTTGATAGCATATGCTGTGAGTGTGGTAAGTCAATTTATGCATAATCCTAAAGAAGTGCACCTACATGCTGTCTACCGCATATTGCATTATTTGAAGGCCAATCCTGAGAGAGGTATCTTATTCAAAAGAAATTCGGGGCTAGTTCTAAAAGCATATACAGATGCTGATTATGCAGGTTCAGTAACTGATAGAAGATCCACCTCAGGCTACTGCACCTATTTAGGTGGTAATCTTATGACTTGGAGGAGTAAAAACAGAATGTGGTGGCAAGATCAAGTGCTGAAGCAGAGTTCAGAGCAATGGGTCAAGGAATTTGTGAACTACTATGGTTAAAGATTATCCTAGTAGATTTGAAGATCAAGTGGGATGAACCAATGAGACTCTACTGTGATAACAAGTCTGCAATAAACATTGCGCACAATCCTGTGCGACATGACATAACAAAACACATTGAAGTAGACCAGCATTTCATAAAGGAAAAACTAGACAGTGGGTTGATTTGTACACCTTATGTCTCAACCAAGGGTCAATTTGTAGATATGTTGACTAAAGGTCTCAGCAGTGCAACATTTCAAGAAATTATTTCCAAGCCCGGAATGGAAAACACCTATTCACCAGCTTAAGGGGGAGTGTGGGAAAACATTTATTTACAGCTGGTTGTAATCTTGTAATCTCTGTATTTATATTTGTATCTCTAGAATTAAGTATTTGTATCCCTAGAATTAAGGACAAAAAATTAGGATAGACAATCCCGCAATTATAGGATCAGTTTTTAGGAAGTTTAACCCCAATTTAGTTGTATATAAACCTAAGGTTCTTGTATAATTCTAAAAAAGCAGTTTTTCAATATACATTCAATTTTACTTTTAGTTTTTCATATAGTTTTATTTCTTAGTTTTTCCACAAGATAGAACATTAATTTATGTTTTATACACATGCCAATACTTGCCTTTTGAACATGGTATATGATTAATTGCCTTAATAGTTTATAGATGCTTTGAACATGAATTAATGGCAAATTTTGACAGCAACTAGTGATGAAGATGTTGTAAAGCATGGAGTATGAACCTTTATTTCACTTTTGTTCTCCTTTGGCTCATTGAGTATCCAAAAAGCCAAAAACAAAAACATTTAGTGGAATTCATTTAAAATGTATAATCCGCTTTATTTGGAATTTAACAAACCATGACTATTAACATTATGTTCATATGTCAATGAAATTTTACTATAACATTCATTCTCCTATTAAATGAGTTACCACATTTGTGGTTTCATAACTATCATGTAAAATAGATAATAAATCTCTCTCTTTAAAGCATAGTTGAAGCCAAAAGTTCATTTTATAATAGAAAATATATATCTTACCAAGACCAAAATCTCCAATTTTAATGTCATTGCGAGCATCAAAAAAGATATTATTTGGAGTTAAGTCCCGATGGATGATTCCTTGTCCATGTATGTGTACCAAGCCTTCCACAATTTGGCGAAACAAATGCCATGCTAATTCTTTATCAAAATGGTTATACGATTCAAAGACTTGGTGCAGAGTCCTTCAGGCCGTAAAAGGAACGTATTAGGGAAGAAAGAAAACACGAGGGTATTAGGAGTGATAACTGATAAGAACAAAAGAAAAGGAATTTCCAAACTAATTTAATAAAATATAAGTCATAAAGTAATGAAATCATAGAAAAGCACGTGCATGTGTGTGTGTTTGTGTACAATATACACACATGCAAATACCCATAGATTTATTTGGATATCAATTCAAGAAAAGGAGCGTAACATGAAGCAGAAGAATTTACACAATTTTCTATGAAAATTGAAAAGGTAAAAGAAGTTGAACTGAAACACCTCAAGTCAATTACATGCTTCGAGAAGACAAATAATTCTAGAAAATCCTATTCAAATAATCATCCCAATGAGTTTCTTTTAACTATCCATTGTGAGAGCATACGTTTCAACCACTCTTTCATTACTTCACAAGGATGAAGATGAAAGCAAAAATAATTACCAATGATTGATAGTATAATCAGCCATGTAGCAACATTAAAAAAAATAACAATGGTATCAAGAAAGAAGTTCAATGATTTTCTACAGCATCACATTAGCTCACTTCTTTTAATCTTATTTAAAACAAGAGAAAAAAAAAGATAAAAACATGCAGAGTAAGAGAGACTATTAAGAATAAGAATATATGACAACCAAATAAATGTGATACCTAGGGCAATATTCCATCTGAATATATAGATATGCTGACTCAAGTTTGTTCTCCCGTCCAGGGACATCAGTCAAGCCTGCACCATTACTGAATGTATAGCTTGTTGTGGTCCCTGAACCCCATGCAGTATCACCAGAAGAACTAGCAACACCTGTTTCCATCCACGCCTGGAAGTTTACAAATATTTAAAACTTTACAGAAGTCCAAATAGTTATTTTTCCTAATTTTGAAGCATAAATATTTCTTTTCTTTGTTTTCCTAATATCTCTACCACAGATAAAGCAATTAAGCTATCAATTTATTACCCTTCTATAAGATCTAGGTAAGAAAGAAAGGTTAAACATTGTAGGCAGAGACTCAACATTTTCAAAAGATGGAGAGAGGAACAAAATGGTAAAAAGCTCTTCAGCTTTACCTGATAGTAACGGACAACATGCTGATGTTGTAAACGGGAAAGTGTAGCTACCTCCCTAAGTATCACACCAGTCAACATTATTGACACATATGCATAAATTAAACAGAATCAGGCATTGTAAAAGATGGAAGGCATTGTACTTAAAAAAAATATAATACAGATTACAGCAAAAATTCAGATACTTGAAAAATAACCAAAATTATAGTTTCCAGGTAAGCAAAGCATTAAACAATTGTAGTAAAATTTGACACCATTAAGCAATTTCTTAATGAAAAAGGTGATTAACTACAGATATAATGTTGGAACAGAATGCGCCAACACGATAGGAGCAGAACAGAAAGCAAGAAGGCCAACACAAAACAAAAGCAGAATGTCAAACATTCATTAAGCATGCAATATTATGCAGATAATATTTTGAGTAAGGAAGAAGAGAAAAGTAGAAGGCTAAACCAGAGAGATCTATAACTTTCTATCATTAAACTTCTAAACAAATGCAACACAAGCTGACCAAATCCTAAATATGAAACTGACAACAAATACAGGAGTTACAAGATTTGAGTATGCCTATGCACCATCATTGCCGACATCCACAATATATATATCAGAATAAGCTTTTTATATTAAGCACCACAACAGTGTTAAAGAAACAGACTCAACAGTAAACCTAATGTGTATATGGAGGTTCCAACTACAGCAGATAAAGAAAATCAAAGCAAAGACGAAATCCAACTGACAAATACCAAATGCATAAATTAGTTTGCTAGAAACGTAAACACCAGCAATCTGGAAGCACCTAAAATATGAGAGATTCTAATAAATGATCATTACAACATTTAGCATCTTTATATGTAAATAACTGCAAATTTCTATTTAGGTAGATAGTACAAGAAATAAAGTTACCTCAATATTCGATCATTAACAGGCAAGTTTTTGTCCTTGAGTCGAATTTTCTTCACTGCATATTGTCTTCCATCTAGCTTATTTTTGCATAATACAACATGGCCAAAACCACCATGGCCTATTATCATCAAAAGGAAGAAGTCTAAGCAATCCTAAAAGTCTTAAAAAGATTAAGATAATTTTGTAACTGAAATGTAATACACAGCTTAAAAAAACAGATATCGCAAATGCAAAGAAGCGACCAAAAGAAGCATTATATCAGGTGAGGTTGGTTACAATAAAATATGAACATGGAGAGCTTAAAATATTGAATTACATAGCAAATCAACTGCCACTAGGCTTAACTTAGGTGGTAAGGTGACCAAGTTTTTAGAAAGGATCCTAGGTTCAAGATATTGTACCAAAAAAACAAATGGAAAGACAGAAAGATAGATAGAGGAGTAGCATCAACAATCCAGGATTCCGACAAAATGAATTCCAGGCAAGTAAGTTCCACTATTTATGGAGGCCATTTTCATTCTGTACAAACACAACATTACTGCTGTTCCTGTGCAGGTCAATGTCAAAACTTCAAGAGCTTTCATCACTTGAAACATGAATGTTTTAGCCTGATCAATTATCCAATATCCAAAGGAAAGCCATTACAACTCATCAATTAAGTTCTAAGATCCAACCAGAATCACCCAATTTACTTCTTCAACTGGAGAAATCGGAGCATATGAATGCATATATTGGAATAAGTGTAATACCAAGGGATTGTAGCTCCTCAAAGTCATTCAAATATCGAGAGCTTGGGAGAGATGAACTTGGCCCTCCCAAATCAGAAGCAGGTTTCCAAAATTCAGAAACTTTGGATGAAACCTGAATAAATGTACAAAGAATTATAATCAGAATCAGAATAAAGGCATCATTTCCCAAAAAACAAGGAAAACAAGAAAGGAAAAGGAAAAATAAGTGACAACCATATGCAGACGGAAAGCATGATCAAAGGTTTTATTGAACGCCAAAGCTGATTTAAAAGCTAAATCCCGAACCCGTTCTGAAATCATCTGAATTCAAATAATCAGAGAATCACCATTTAAGCAAGCAGGAATTTCAAAATTTTTAAATCTCAAGATAATCGTAGCGGGAATTTCAAAATTTTTAAATCTCAAGATAATCATACTTTTTTCCCTTTCCCAACAAGCAGAATAGGATCAATGACATACATCTAAATTATACAGCTCTGTTATCATCTGTGGCAGCGCATCAGTTAATGGCCCTTTAGAAGCACAAGCAAGGCGAAGCAGATGAACCTGTTCTTGTAAACAAAAATGTATTAGACAAAGTTAACAACTAGCCCTTAAAGCAAATTTAGTATATGTGTTGAAAAATAAGAGAAATTGAGAAACTATGAAAAAGTTACCATCATTAGATCTTTTTCAATGGCTTCTGATGCTTGATCATCATTTAAGGATTCAAAAGATAATGACTCCCAAGGCTCACTTTCAATATCACCATCATCGTCCTCTGTTTCCTGAGGCTCACTTTCAAGATCACCATCATCATCCTCTGTTTCTTCAAGAACAATATCCTACAAATCATCTAGTGAATATGTAATACTCCATATAGAACTAAACAATGAAAATAAAAAGACTTGAAAACAACATTTTGATTGTCTCAAAAGTTTAGAGTAAACTGGTCACCCATTCTTTAATCTTGTCAATTTTGGATTTCTTGAAGTGCCAAAGTTAAGAACTTGCACCTGAAATTAACTTAGTTTCACAATTTCTAAATCAATGTATGTCCATCCTTGTTCCATCTTCTTCTAAATTCAACCTTATTTAATTGTACTTGGTCAAAAATTTCCAAAACCATCATATTTTGCCTTTTGAAATGCAAGAAGCCCTAGAATTCTTGCAGTTATCTCCTATCTAACTAGGTTCAAATTTAATTTTGCATCAAAATAGAAACAATAGCATTATTCCAGCCTGCTTGATTTTAATCCCTCTTGTCCAGAAAATGTCTATTCATTAACTTGCATGAGAAGGAAAAGAATAAAGATTCCACAGAATGACCCTATAAATACAGATAGGCTTTGACAAGTTATAAAGAGCTTGCATTACACTAGTTCCTACTTTCTCATAGAAATATTTAACATTTTACAAAGCCCATAAAGTCATTTCACTAGGGATCCTCACTCAACTTCTACATGCTTATAGACACAGATTCCTATAACTTTAACACTATCACTTACTCTGATGCTGGTACAGTTTAATATGGTTGGAGCTTTTCTCCAATTTCTTGGTCTATACTTTCTTTGTCTGGATATTTACTCCCCCGTCATACTAGTCCCACACATAATTTTTGCTTCTCTTATTCTCATGACACAGCGTTTCATACAATACAAGCAATAGGGTGGATAAAGACAACACCCAGGTTATGAAACCAGATAAGGATTTATTCAAATAATATGTGTAATTAACAAGATTAGACAGCTGTGCCATTCTGAAACAATAAAGCATTTTCAAGAGAAAAGAACTATTTTGTGCACAAATTTTCAAAAGTATGTGAATTTGAATAAGACATATAAGCATAAAAGAAAAAAAAGTTCTGCAAGACTTTGTCTTTTGCTTCAATTTAAAGCAACAAGTATGCACTCTTCACTCAAATTCAAATGGTTCATCCTTCTAATTTGTAACAGGAGGCAAAATAGACTGGAAGAGAGAATTTAAATCTTTTTATTTGAGAGGGATGTTTTCCCCTCCCACCCCATCAGCTAGGATTTTGTAAAAATCATATATTGTACACAAAACTTTTAAACTAGGAGGAAATAGCAATAAATACCCAACAATAAGTATCTCTGTAATCCAATTTCAGCATATAATTATATGCAATTATATTTTTGTGAGCATGTAAAAACTTGAAGGAGTAGCAGAAATAATAAAAGTTAAGAATGATAAAGATGAAGATACTTCAAAATATCAAATACTAATCCAGCATAACTTACCTCCTTCTCACCTTTCATGCCATTTCTGACCCAGTCCTCTATCAAAAAATTGCTTGAATCAGCAGTAGATACGCTCTTACTGTCATCTTCACTTTCTTCTTTAAGGGTATCCAGGTTTGCAATGGGTAAAGGTGACGGAACTCTCTTTTTTTCTTCCAGTGCCAATAGCTTTGGATTCTTCTCGAGTTTCTTTTCTCGAACATTATATCCAACTTTTGAATCATTGGATGCAAGTGATTGTACAGTAGAAACTAAACCTCTGTTTTTGTCCATATCCATAGGCCAATTCCATGACTCTCCAGATCCACTGAAAAGATCTATAAAACCATAAACAAAAGGCCCCCTAGAAGAGCAACTCTTGTTACTTGAAATTGCAACATCCTTCTGAAGCAACTGGCCATTATTTCCTCTGGTTGAGTGTAAAATCTTCAAGAAGAAAGGATAAATAGAAGATAGGTTAACCAAATAGAAGAGCAGAAAAAGAAAGAAATACTGATAGTTAGCAGGATTTAGCTGCCTATTTCTTAAGAATATAAATCAATCTCATAAAAGAATGAACATAAAACTGAACTCAACTATGCCTTTAATTCCAAACTAGGTGCACTTGGTGTCATTAAACTATTTTGTCCCTTCTGTCCAATTAAACCTTCACTTAGTTAAAGGCTACATCCTATGAAGAATCAAAGGAAGCTAATTCTTCTATTTTTCTTTTTGAATGATCTCAACCCATGTTATTTTCAGTCTTTCCAAACCTCTTTTCATTTTCCTACTTGGCTCAAATCAGATTACAGAGTATCCCCAGCTCTAAGTTGCATACGGTCTAAGTTGCCTTTCCCTTAATTGATATTAAATTGATGTCAACTCTACCTTCTTATTACCATATGGATATTTTGTAGTGTGTTTTATTTTATGGCCATGAATACATCTTAACATATGCACTTCAACTACATTCATTTGTGGAGATGTCATTTAACCACGCAACATTCAGTAACTAGAATATCTTATGGCTATTTCACAAAATTTCCCTTCAACGTAGGCAATCACCCACAATCTTGATATCCATACTGCACTTCTTCATTTCATCCAACCTGTTCTTATCCTATGCCAGAACATCACTTCAAGTTCTTCCTTAGGATCTAGGGTTTATCGAACATATAGAAAACATCACTCCCTGGAAATTCCTAGTTTATTTATTTTAACTATTTCTTCCTCTCTAGTTTTACTTTTACAAACCTTATACTTTATATTCAGTTTTGGTCATCTTAATCTAAAATATTTGGATTCTAAGTACTCCCTCTATGTTGCAATTATCTCCCACCTCACTCTCATCTACTAAAACTATATCATCTAAAAATAATATGAACCAAGAACTCTCATCTCGGATATTCCAAGAAAGTTCATCCATCAATAAAAATAAAGAAAAAAAAAAAAAAGAGATAAGAGTTTAGACAGACCATTGGCATGATAGTATCTATAATAGGAAATTCACTACCATCACCTCACTAGTTGTTACTATTGAAAATACTTTCTCATACATATCTTTATCTTTGCTGATGCTCCAAGTTTCTCAAACCAGAGGAAAAGATATTTTACTTTGAAAAAAGAAAAAGGAATAAATGTTTATTTCCAATGGAGAAGATGCTCAAACCCCTCATGACAACAAGAAAAAAAAAAGATTATCTAAGATCTCAATGAAAAACAAACATATATGTCCAAGGTCATTCTAGGCAAACAAAGAAAACATATTTCATGACCAACTTATGGTCCATAAAGGTATTTACATGTTACTTTACAGCAATGCCTCAAACAAGATGAATAAATAAAAATTGGGAAAAAATTGAAGTTTGATAAGTTACAGAAAATTGTCAAGTATATAGAAGACATCATCAATTTTAATATAGATGGTAACTATCACAACTTAATCAAAAAATACAAGGAACTGGTCATAAAACCAAAGTGAAGCGATAAGCAATCACCTTGGATCAATAAATATGAAATGGCAACAAGAAAAAATCGAAACACTAATTATTATTGAGGGTAAAAGCATACAGGTTCATGTGATTGACCCACAGCAGCAATTTCAGACAGGAACTCTTGAGCAGCTTCCACCAAATTAAAAATCATTACTCGTCCTTCTCGAGCATTAGAATTTGCCTGGGAAAAAAAAGTTAAAAAAATAGGAGTCACTAAGTATAAGAGGCTAGACACAGAAGCCAACTTATTTGAAAAACAGGTAAGACATGCCAAGCAAAAAGCAGAGCATAAAACAGTTATGCTTCTGCAAATAAATTCTGAATTTTTTGATAAGTATGCAACATTCTCTTAGGAGAAAAAAGATCTGCACTGGCCCAAGCCTCTAGAATGATGAAGACAACGTATTTCTATTTGATATCATAAACTACCAGTTTCATTTATTATTGTCACCAGCAGAACTTTTATGAAATAGCATAAAAGTCAATCCATACCTGATCATTAAGTAGAGACAAAAGACTATCGGCCCCGGTTTTGGTGAGGCCTTTCTCTGGAGTGATCTGCAACTTTGGGCACTTGTAAGGATATCCCGGCAAGCACCTGATAAACAAGGAAAAGAAATAAATGAAAGGAATACATATGTTGATGTAAATGAAACATGAAACAACATTCATCCATAATTTAACTTACCTAACTAAGAGGAGAGCAGAAACATCAAGATCCTCATAACCCATATCCTTCGTGTAAGGCCTGTTCAAATTTCATAAATAGCAAAATCAAGATAAGAAAAAATAAGAGTTCAACTGACAATTAGATACAAAATTAAAATAGCAAAAACCTGAGCTTAATGATGATTTTCGGAGGTGATCCTGAGACAACTTTGCAGTCTTCTCCAAATATTGCACACCTAAAAATAATAGAATTTAACATAAAATACAATTTTTAATTTTATATCCCTAAAAATTAGGTCTTCAATTTGATTTCATTTGAAAAAAGGAAAATTTATAGATATTTCTAAATTCTTAGTACAAAGAAAACTTGCAAACATGCTAAAGAAAAGTGAACTAAATTTCAAAAGAACCCATAAAGAAATAATGGAGGTAAATGTCAATAAAGGTTAATTATTCTCTTGATGGAAATACTAAGAGTTCAACATGTTAATGCAGAATTCAATGAATCATAATGCATTTATAGGAAATGATGCCCACTCTTAGGAAACATATATATAATATTTCAAAATAAAAAACAATGTACACTAAATTTAACTACATAGAACTTTGACTTTAAGCACAATTCTATCCAAATATCTTTAAGTTCTTCAATCCTTGTGTGAATTTATAATAGGTTTCCAATCTAAAATCAATTTGCAAAAGGCCAGAGGCCTTTTCTATATTTAAAAACCCCGAATTCAATCGAGACGGATTTACTTTTATCACCACTTAAATACTTTCAAGTTTCAACCATAAGCTCAATAAGACCCTTAGTCATTTCTCAACCTTGGCTAACTGTTCCCGAATTCTACCAGCACCCTCTAAAAGTTCAACACTATCGAATCAAAGAATCAATGGTCACACAATAACCAAGCCATTTGCCCCATAGAAATCCGATTGCCCTACTCTGCCCTATTTAAAGTAAGTACAGTAAGTACAGTAAAAGAACATGTCTTCTTTTTCCTTTATATAAACTAGTTTGATGCAAAGACTAAGAATATCAAAGAGCAATAAGAAAATGGATTGAGAGGCAAAAAAAGTTACTATTGATTTAACATACAGGGCAGTGATCTCTTCAGAAAGAAGCTCGTTCTCATCTCCATCATGAGAATTATGATCTTTGGAAGAAGCCCTTACTTTACCTCTCCTCCCTCCTCCTTTCTTCTTCTTCTTTGAACCCATTTCTCAAATCAAATCATCAAAATACCAAACAAGGCCTGAATTGATATATGAAAATCTTTGATAAACCCCGGATGATGAATTGATGATGGGTTTTGTTCTTTTTCAACTTTAATAAAAAAAAAATAAATAAATAAATAAGAATAGGGATAAGATTACGGGAACGGTGGCTAGGCGCTTAACGTTTCGGTTTTGAATAGAAAGAAGTTGACGACAACCCCTTTGCCTCAACGCAAACTAGTGCTAGGGGTGACAAAAGGATTTGGATGCATTAGATTCTGGGTTTTTTTTTTTTTAAATAACGTATTGTTTATTAATTTTTAAATTTAACTTTTTATATTATTTTAGTATAATTTTTAATATATTTAAATATCAAATAATTATTTTATTTAAAAAATTTTAAATACATAAAAATTAATAAAAATATATAATTCAATTCAATTTAATTTTTTTTATTTTTAATTTTTTAACTTAAAATTTAATTCAAATTTAATATATATTTAATGTTTAATTTTAATTTAAATCAATTAAAAAAATCAATCCAAACTAAATCAAAAATCACAACTTCAAACTAATTTTCATTGGATTGTTTTTCATATTTAATTAGTCTAAGTATAAATAAAATTCTTTTAATCTGATTTTTATTAAATGCATATTAATAATATTTAAAAAATTAATTTTTTAATATTTTAAATTCAAAATTAAATAAAAAATAAATTTTATTACAAAATAACACTTCATCAGGCTCGGGCTCGGGCTCAAAATTTTGTGTTTGGGGACAAGCTCAGATCGGGCCAAGCCGAAGCTTTCGACTTGAAAGCAATACTCCAAAATCAAATTCAAAATTTTTTTTCCTTTTTAAATAAAATTTAAAAAAAAATGTGAAATGTGTTAATTATTTGATTTTTTTATATATAAAAATTTGACTTCTTGAATTGGAAGGTGATGATAAATTATTGTTTTCAATACTGTTAACCAAACTAATTATAACAAACTCTTTTTAAAAAGATATTTACATTTCTATGTAAAATTAAAACTTTCATAAAGTGAGCCTGTCCGTCCCAAAGGTCCACCCATGCCAAAAATGGGTGCTAATTGCTAAAAGCTAAATCTTTTACTTCAATTGGAAAATTCGAAATATTTTGTTTTTTCTTTTCTTTTTTTTTTGGTTTGTTTTAGGTGTAGATTTGGCTTCTTGATTATTATAGTTAATTAGCTATACCTTAGATCTTTCACTTGTACTTAAAATGGCTAATTGTTTTATTTGGAAGGATCCATTCCACAGTCTTGAATTATTTTGGGTTTTAATGTGAACGGTTGTTTTGAGTTTAAATTAAATTATATTAAAAAAATTATTAAATGATTTTTATTTTTTTGTATATATTTAAATATATATATATATTGATATTGATATAATCATATTTTATCAATTATGAGAATTAAATATATAAAAATTATTTATTTATAAATTACATAATAAAAATGCATTTGAAAATTTAATTTATCTGCATTTTAAAAAAATTATTTATATTTTATTTCATAACTTATAATATATTTTTATTTATGGTATAAAAATATATTATTTTTTATGTTATCAAATTCTTTTAACAAAAAAGAGTTTTTTTAATGGTTTTTTATCATTTAATTTATTTAGTTTTTATTCTTATCCTTTTATTTAAAAAGTAATTGATAAATTTAATTCACGTAAAAAAATTTAAGTAACCAAAAAAAGGGTTTGTAATTGTTTAATTAGCTTTTGGATTTAGTTTAAATTTTTTAAATACAAATAATAAATGTAAAAAAGTTAGGATATTACTCATAAATAGATCAATCCATTTTTTAAAAACTTTGATCTTAAATCCCTAGCCCATTAATTCTCTTCAAATGGATCAATTTTATAAATTTTTTCAAAACTTTAATCCAAAATTCATACTCAAAACATTTTAAAAATTTTTTATGATAAAATGATTATTTTATAATATTAACAACTATTAATTATTAATACTTTTGGAGTTGCTTAGTTACTTCCGAACTTTATTTCGCCTTTCAAGTGTTGGTGGTTTCCTGCATTGTAATTGATTACATCAGTTGATTTACTCTTTCCTCAGCATTCATCGATTGGTGGTGTAAAAAAAAAAAGGGGTATTAGATTATGGGTAAAGATGTCTATGCAATTCATTAAGCAAGTCATGAATTCAAAGTAAATGAGTTGCCTATTTCACCAATCTTTCTTTCATGTCCAATTTTGGGCTGTACTCTGATATTTTTTTTCACAATATATATATATATATATATATTCCCTCTTGATTGATAACATGTTTCAAAGTTGAAACCCAATGTGAATATTTTAAAAGACTTAGAGCCTTAGACATCTAACAATTATAAATTTAGTAAGATTTGATATCCAAAAAAAAAAAGGGAAAGACAAATTTCATCTAAATGAATAGTAAAATTCATGACTTGACAGCAAATTGAAATAAATTGAAATTTAGGGATAGTTTTTATATATTGTTATTGATTATTAACATATTCGATATCGTCATTCATGTGCATCGGATCGATTTTTTACGTTCTTATAATTTATAAAATTATATTTATGAATGATAATTAAAATTATTTAAAAAACTTGATTCTTTTGAAAATTTTGGAACATTTCTTCCACAGAAAATTGGAAAATCCCCAATAACATTTCATTTCCTCTTTTAGTAATATTGGTTTCTTTTCAATCTTCTTTGACATATTGGATATAGTGTTGTTGAATATCTTGTTTTGATCATCATTAGTTGTAATTTCTTCACTCATACTCTTGTGGTTTATATCATTCATATTGGATATAGTATTGTTGAAGATCTTTTTTTTTTATCATCATTTGTTGTAATTTCTTCACTCTTACTCTTGGGTTTATATCATTCATATTGGATATAGTCTTGTTGAAGATCTTCTTTTGATTATCATCTTTCATAGTTTCTTCACTCTTGCTCTTGTAATAATCTATATCATTCATTTAAATTCTAGTAATAACCTATGGTAAAAAAAAAAAAAAAAAGTTAAATATTGCTCAATAAAAAATATTGAAAAATTTCTTCTAAAAGTTAAAACCAAAATAAAGTTAACTAATCAAAGAAAGCTACCAAAATAAAAGTAAAATAAAAATATTAACTAAATAAAGCAATATGTGTTTAACATATTACAATTATATATTTCGATAAGAGAAATTTTTAAAAAATGGCAACGGTATCATGATAATATTAATGGTGATATTTGCACTTTTAAGTAAAAAATACAAATAAACTGTTTACAAATTTGGTGAGAGAAACTAAGTTTGAAAAAAATTAATTATTGCGATTTTAAATAATTAAACTAGGTTTTTTACATTCATGCTTTGCACAATTAATTTTATAATTAGGTAATATTAGAGTTTATAAATTTTGATAACTATATGATTTCATATTGTATCATCAATATCATATTTATTTCTCTTTTTCAATATTATACCTAAATTTTAAATATAAATACGAGAATCCCAATGGTAAAGATGGATCAAATTGCTCTCTTTGTACTGATAATTTGAACATAAATGCTATTTTTATTTTTTTAGTTATTTGATGATGAAAAAAAATTGGTTTTATCATGAATTTATTATATTTAAAATTTATTTTTCGTTAAACGATATATTTTATTTATCTAAAAGGGGGATAATATATTGTTAATATTACAAACGTACAAACTATATATTGACAAATACAAACACAAAATTAAATGTATAAAATATCAATGAAAATCGCATATGCTCACACACTATATTGTTAATATGAGTAATAACATGCATTATAAATTTTTACATTACAATTGCACTAAAATTTATATTTCTTAACAGACTTACTTTTAAAGAGTTGAATAAAAAAAAATTCATCCATACCAATCATATCGCATTTAAAGTCATTTATAAAAATATTATTAGGACTAAAATTCTTTAAAATTGTTTTATATTAATTATATTTAAATGGTTTTGCTCTATTAAGATTTAATCTAAATATTATTTGTAATACACAGCCATAAAAAGAATAACAGGTTTTTAAGTTTTAATATAATTGCATCTTAAAATTTATTAAAAAGAAAAATTCACTATCCCATACATAAAAATTGATCTTGTGAATCACATTAATAAATTATAATTCTAATGCTAAAAAAAGACATGTTAATAAATAATTAGTTAAAAAACTTAGATAAAATATTTTTATTTTTAGTTAAAAAAGTATAAAACTCAACTTTATTAAATCCAGTAAAAAGTTTTATAGTGAAAAATAAATAGTACAAAGAGCATTTGTCATTATTTGTAAATAAAAGAATCAAATAAAAATGATTGAATTTGATTATCCAATGAACAAATAAAAAATAAATGTAAAACAATATAACTCTTCTTATAATTTTATGAATTATTAGATGATAAATTTAGAATATATAAAAAGTTTAATGAAAACTTTATTACCACACATTATAAATTTTTAATATTTTAACTTTGTATAAAAATTCAAGTGTATTTGTTTCGCAAAATAAAATTTTAAAAATTTTAAGAAACAAACAAATTACTTATGTTTTTTAAAATAATACCTTTTAATTAGAGAATTTGTTAATAAATATATTCGTTAATGATCATAAAATTAATTATAATAATATATAATAATTTTAATAGTTAATTGTGATAATTGATTTTTGGGACTTTCTTTATCTTTTTGCTTTCTTCAATTTAAAAATAATATTTATCTATTAATTACATTTTGTAGGCTTTCTTAACCTTTTCATTTTTTTTATTTTAAAAATAATATTTATTAATTAATTGTGTATCTTTGGCTTTCTTTAATTTTTCATTTTCTTTGATTTTAAAAATAATATATATTAATTAATTTTGTATCTTTAGCTTTATTTATCTTTTCAATTTTTTTAGTTTTAAAAATAATATTTATCTATTATTACGATTATTAATTGTGTTTTTTGGGTTTCATTATCTTTTGGTCTCTTACGATATTAAAGATAATCACTTGTTTAAAATCAAATTAATTGTAATCATTAATCATGTTTTTTAGGCTTTATTTATTTTTGATTTTTTTTATTTTAATAAAAATAATATATATTTATTAATTGTGATAATTACTTTTTGTTTTTTTATTTTTTTATTTTCACAATTTTAAAGAGATATATTAAATTGATTATGTATTTTTTTTTTGCCTTTGACTTTATTTTATTTGTTTTTTAATAATATTTATCTATTAACTGTAGTAATTTT